TGATAATGGAATGGCAACCCCGCCTGTGCTATCGGTATACACCGGCGGGGCACCAGTGAGAGATGATAGGTGAGAATGAAAGAGCAGGTCAGTTAGCCCATCGATAAATACACCTGGAATTCCGCACGATGGTTTCCAGAGGAGACCACATGGAGGTCGATCTGTCAAGGTATATTGCTAGCAATGAGACTGGTAGTCCGCACTACTAACAATCCTTTCCTCCCTTCTCATTTGTGATACGACAGTGACCAACGTAAGGGCAGTCCAACCTGCTTGCAATCATATTCACGATGCCATTGGTGAATGACAGCGCCTAATTGGCATCTCTTTTAAAACTTTCATCTGTTATAATAAGTCGCTAACAACATTAACTGTGCATATCCGTCAATAATTAATTACTAATCCTGAACGGACCCTCTGTGACGCACCCCACTGTGGGGTTGCGGAGGGGTGTCTCTCGCGTGTCATAACAATAAATCGAAACTTGTCACTCGTCTAATATATTGGGGTGTTTCATTTGTTTTTCTTTGTACAGTGAGTAGATGGACACCTGATTTGTTGTTAGGTGAAATAAAGCTCTTGAGTGGCGACCCCGTACGGGCAAACGCAGTGTAGGACGACCCCACTCCCACTAGATGAAGTGACGACCGCAAATGTTTTACCAGAGGGAGACTGTACAAAAGTCAATTGCTTGGGTACCTCTGTTCCTTTCGTGTTTCTACTGTGAAGCAGCTGTTTGCATGGCTGTGTTTCGGTTTGAAGGGTGGGATATGGCGTGAATTTACTGGGTACAGAGGAATAACATTCGAGTCCTCAGGAATGGCAACGGAAGGGGGGTATCATGGGCGAAACAGTATACTCTGTTATGTCCATGGTACTGCTTATGTCTATAGGCGACGGTTACCACTTTACATCAGGTGGGCCGTCAGCTTGTTTGCCATTCTAAGTTGTATAAAAATAAAATAAATAAAAATTACGACAACTACGAGAAAGGAAGGGGTGGTCCATTCTATGCCGGGACCACGAGGCAAATACTTTATTGAAGTAAATATAAATAACTTTATAAATATAAGAATAATATAAATAATACTAGCAGAAACAAATGTATTGACATTTGTTTGTACAGCGCGGATTCGAACCTGCTACTATCTGGAAGTGAAATGACCAATCGTCATAATACAACTGCATTACCTAAGTAGATATTACGCTCGATCACAGCTTATTACAAAAATGTAATGAACGGGACTCGATTCCCCAACCCTCTGTGTTTGGACCCCAAAACCATTAGATACGGTGACGTCAGTAGGGCGAGGTCATCGAACCCGGCATCCCCCGCGCGTGTAGGGTGAACGACCCCAACAGTTCTGGGGTGTTATCCCTGCAGATTATTATCTTGAGTTTTTAAATTGGAATATTGGGTAAACCAAGTTTGAAAGTTTGCAAGTAAACTAATAAGTTTTTGCTATAAAAAAAAAAAACAAATAGTCTACGCGCCTTAGCGTAGTGCAATTTTTTTTTTTTGATGGGTGAAAATGGTATGGTAACCCCGCCTGCGCTAACGGGATACGCTGACGGAGCACCAGTGAGGGGTGATAGATGAGAATGAAAACAGGCCAGTTAGCCCATCATGATGAATTCATTAGGAATTAACCATGATAGTTTCCAGGGAGAACCGCGAGGAGGTCGACCTGGTTGGGTATATTGCTAGCAATGGGATCCTCAGTCTCCATTACTAACAATCCCTTTCCCCCCGCGTATGACAATTAACAGCTGATATTTAGCAAGTTTGAAGGGTGGGATATGGCAGTGAATGTACGAGGTCTGTCCGGAAAGTTCGTATAAAAGTGTTCTGGAATGCGAGAAAGAGGAGTGGGGAGGCCAGGTAAGCGCAGGACCCCTTCCTTATGTCCCTAACAATGCTTCAGTTCTGGTCTGACCGCCGTGCGGGGCTTGTCACGCCATCTGTGAAGTTACCTCTTAACGAAACCCCGTCGGCATGGAGCCCGCTTCCGTTGAAGAGCAGCGCGTCGTAATCAAGTTTCTCTCGAAACTCGGCAAGAATGGCCGTGAAATTTTTGCCGATCTCAGAACAGTTTATGGGGATGATGCTGTGAAGGAACCAACCGTCCACAAGTGGCTAAAAAGATTCAGAGAGGGCCGAGAAAGAGTTCGATGTTCGGGGATTGTCCATCAAGAATTCGTCCCTCCAGGCCAGACAGTTGATGAAAATTCTACGTCGATGTGCTCAGACGCCTCAAAGCTCGTGTGGCACGAGTTCGTCCAGAATTGGCGCGAGAGGGGCGTTGGATTATTCACCACGACAATGCCCCTGCTCACACCTCTCTTGTTGTCCGTGAGTTTTTGAGTAAAAATTCCATTACGGTGACCGAACACCCCCCCTATTCGCCGGATTTGGCCCCGTGTGACTTCTACTTGTTCCCAAAAACCAAATTGGTATTTGGGGGACATTAAAAAAAGCTACGACGGGGCAGCTGAGAAACCTACAACCAGTTTCAAAACAGTGGAAACGGCGTTGGCACAAGTGCATTATGTCACAGGGGGAGTACTTTGAAGTAAAATTGATTTACCTGAATAATTGTAAAATAAAATTTTTAAAAAACTTTTATACGTACTTTCCGTACAAACCTCGTACAGGGTACAGAGGAATAACACCTGAGTCCTCAGGAATGGCAATGCATGGGGGGTATCATGTGCGAAACAGTATACTCTGTTATGTCCATGGTACTGCTCATGTCTATAGGCGACGGTTACCACTTTCAATCAGGTGGACCGTCGGCTTATTTGTCATTCCATGTTGCATAAAAAAGACTTTTACTGTAGAGTAACTGTGTTAAGCGAGAATTTTAGAAGCAAGTACTAATTTATAATATTATTTTATGTACAACTTAGAATGGCTGGACTACCAATGTTTTTTCAATCGACTTCAAAAAGAATGTTGTCAATGTATAAAAAAATATAAGGTCTCTTCTGTTGTATTATTGTTTATGTTTGTTACCTCATGACTCCGTCAGTTGTAAACCGATTTGGATGATTCTTTTTTTTTTTTTTATTTGAAACACTTACAGATTAGTCACATAGAAATTGTATAAAAAAAACGGTTCAGTGTTTTAGTTTTTAAATCAATATAGCTAGTTTTGGCATAATTGAAATCGGTTTTTTATTTGTGGAACGCAATAAAAATGGGATGGTAACCCTGCCTACGCTAACGGTATAAACTAGTAGGACACCAGTGAGATACTATAGGTGAGAATGAAGAGGCAGGTCAGTTAGCCAATCGTAACGAATTTTCAAAAGAATAATTTTTTTTCAAAAGATTGTTTTTAAATGAAATTTTATATATATATATATATATATATATATATATATATATATATATATATATATATATATATATATAAACCAAACCCAATATATAGATATCGGATCGGTATCCACCGTGTCCTTGCCTATTACCTAGTGGTTCTATCCCCGTACAATACACACATTGGTATTCATAGTAGGTCTTTTTGTATTAAACTAGTGATAGTTTAGAAAACTTTAATAGAAAGTATTTCATAAAGTAAATAGATAGATAGATAGATACTCTTGTTTCCTCCAAAAGATTACAATAGTAAACTTATTATAAATATAAACAATTACAAGAAATAATCACAGTGAGAAAACAATGAGCGGCCTTATCGCTAAGAGCGATCTCTTGCAGTCAACTTTTGGATGGAGAGGAGTAATTATAAACAGTTTGATCGGAGGCACGATGAAATTTTATTATTTCTAAAACATAAAGAATCTATATATATTTTTATAATAAAATGCCAAGCAAACTGACGGCCCGCCTGATGGAAAGCTGTAACTGTAACTGTTGCCTTTTTTGGGACAAGTGTTTATTTCTTGGTGTGAAACTTTAAACATGACAATTGTTCTGATATCCTGTATGGTTTATTAACGTCAATGTATTATATAAAACAAACTTTGCATAGTTACAAAAACCATGATAGAACTATGAAATAAAAAATAAAATAAATAAACACCCTTTATTCATGGATTGAACATAATTTCGCTAAAGACACATTCGGTTTTACCAAAAAAAAAAATTATAATACTGTTTATTTGACACTAAACTACCAATCCGTCATTTTGACGGATTTTATATTTTAGGCATAAATTTAATTATTGTTTTGTAAATATTGTTTTTTCTTTTTTTTAATTAATGATTACTTCTTATATGACACGAAAATACTCAAATTAACTTTATTTTTGTTTGTAAACCCTTTAATTTTAAGGAATAATGTAACATATAGGTACCTACACATACCAATCCGTCAAAACAACGGAATCAATAATTTTGTTCCTATCCTTAGAAATATGAGCCAATTTTTCTGTTTATTTGAATGAATAATTAAAACATCTCGTTAACGTACTAACGTTTAATAATCCATTTACAAATTTTGGCTTTTCGGGGAATACCCAAAAATTTATAAAAAAATTTACTTATCACGCATTTATTTAGCTAATGAATTTTAGTTGGACAACGACGTTTATTGCAGAAACTTCAAATTTTGAAAGCTAATAGTATTTTTTATGGCCCCGCGAACTTCGTACCGCCTAACCACAGACAATTTGTGTTTGACTAATGTTACCATCGTATAAATATTGACACCAATATTTATACGATACCAACGTCACTCAATTGTTATGCCTCCCCGGAACCTCTCCACTAACACTTGAACTTTATGGTAAGGTATTAAAGTTCAAATTGACTTTTAAGTATTTATTAATGTAGAGTAAGTATAGAAAAATGTTGTTTTTAGTCTTTCTCTATAATATTTAAAAAAAAAAAGGAATTAGCGAAATCGGTCCAGCTGCTCTCGAGATTTGCGCTTAGCAACACATTCAGCGATTCATTTTTATATTATACGTAATATATTTTGGATATGTATTCGAGTTCACTATTACTATATAAATATAAGTAAAAGGCCGGGTCGTACTTTTCACAGCTGCTTTAATTCTCTCAAACATGGCCGTCACTCCTCAGTGTTGCCCTCGCTCAAACATAGCATAGATAATACAATATACATATACAACAATATTCATATATAAATAAATTTTTTCTAAGGGGTTTTATAATTATGAAAAAACAATGCTGAAATAACAGAATTATTGAAAAAAGAAAACTAACCAATATTGATGAGGATTGTTCCGATACGGATTCAGATAAAAGTTTTAATTTTTTTTTTTTTTGAATGATGAAATGGAAATTGAAACAACTGAATTTGATGAAAATGATGAAATTTCAGACAGCCAAAATAATATTGAAAAATGTGATTAAGGAAGTTAAAAAAGAAAAATAAGTTCCTACCTTTTTCTTCAGACATCGAAAACGGACGCGAAATTTTTTATTACAACCTTCAAAGTTGTTCCGTCAATATGTTTCAACCGTGAAGCAGTTGTGTTTGCATGGCTGTGTTTCGGTTTGAAGGGTGGGATATAGCGTGAATTTACTGGGTACAGAGGAATAACACCTGGGTCCTCAGGAATAGCAACGCATGGGGGGTATCATGGGCGAACATGAAACAGTATACTCTGTTATGTCCATGGTACTGCTCATGTGTATAGACGACGGTTACCACTTTCCATCAGGTGGGTACAAGTATTGGTACAAGGAGGTATATATAAAATCTTGGTAGTTCTAGAGTTAAACAGTTTGTGTATTTATTTTATTGAACTAGATTGTTATCATGCGGAACCTCATATCACTTGTTATTTGATTTACCTAATTTTTTTTTTTAATAACCACTTTCAGTCTTGTTCATAAACAATCTTATTGTAAGTTTAAACAGCTCTTTAACTAAAATGTCCAATAACTCTAATGAACGTTTATAACAGACGGTTACTCATAAACATTCAATAAGTCCTCAATAACTAAAACTGGTTTACTAAAGGCATTATTATATTACAAACTTGACAAGTTCTACACACCATATTTGTGGTAAAACGAATTATGTAGAGCTATAAACAGCAAGTTTTTTACATTTATAAAACATTTGTTGCTTGTAAATGTCTCGACAAACATTTGCATCAATGTACATGTTATAATACATGTTACAAACATCATGTTGTGATACATGTTACGAACATCATGTTGTGATACATGTTACGAACATCATGTTGTGATACATGTTACAAACATCAAGTTGTGATACATGTTACAAACATCAAGTTGTGATACATGTTAAAAACATCAAGTTGTGACACATGTTACAAACATCATGTTTTGATTACATTTTACAAACACATGTCGTGATACATGTTACAAACATCATGTTGTAATACCTGTTACAAACATCATATCCTGATACATTTTACAAACACATGTGATACATGTTACAAACATCATGTTTTGATACATTTTACAAACACATGTTGTGATACATATTACTAACATCATGTTGTGATACAAACATACTCGTCACACTATATGTATTAAGGTATTAGAAACTTGATTCACAGTCCCTAACTCGCCACATGGTTACCAATCTCACAGGTAAACGTCTCTGTACCTGAAAAATAAAATAATCAAATGATATAAATTTAATATATATTATATTAGTTTATTTTAAACTTTCGCGTTGTTTACACATACTTTAAATACACAATGGAGACTTAACGCGATGTAAAAGCCTTTAACAGGTAAACAGTACCTACATACTTGCTTCTTTATTGGTGAGTGCGGTATGTAGGGTGACTCTAGATAAGAGTGGTGACAGTGTGAGGGTACCTGAAGAGACAGCATGAGCTACCAGACGAAGACGCCGGTCACTTCAGTCCTGTCGTGATCACGACGCGGCATGATACTTATGGTAGTATTGTTGAGTCAGCCGATCTTACCTTTATGGCTGGCGACATGCGCGCGCAGGCACTTGATGCTGGTGAAGGTGTGCTGGCACACGCGGCACCGGTAGTGATAGTCCAGGATCTGAAGATGGAATGGTGAATATTATATTTATTAGGATTACAACAATACCGCAATTAAATGTATATTTGTTTATTATTTTATTTATTTATTATTTTATTTATTAGTTCTTTTATTTATTTACTGTTTTATTTATTTATTGTTTTATTTATTTATTATTGACATTATATGTATAATTTGCAATATTTTTTTGTGTAACGCTACAGTTCGCCAAACAACAAACTAGCCTGCTAATCTTGGCAAAATATGTTGGAACTATAACATAATTAAAATACCCTGTATGTATTTACTGCACACACATGCTTATGCAAATAAATTTATGTTTAACTTTGTACTATTTTATTTCAATGAGACATACACACAAAATTAAATATACACATAATTAAACATACACTCATCTAATTTCAAAAACGATTAAATATTTGTATGCCTTCTTTCCTCTCTTCTACATGCTAGTGATGGGCTTTTTAGACCCCCATTACTAACAATCCCTTTCTCCCACCATCAGATGGATAGTTAGCTTGTTTGCCATTCTAAATATTATAAAATAATAAAGTCTAGTATAAGCAGAGCCAGGAGGCTAATATAAGCAGTGGAGGGGAGAGAGATTATTTATAATGGGGGTGTTAATCTCCATTTCTAGCAATATACCCTGTCACGTCGACCTCCACGCGGTCCCCCTGGAAACTATCGTGATTAATTCTTGTTGCTTTTATCACAATGGGCTAACTGACCTAGTTTCAACCTTATCTATCACCAATCACTGGTGTCCCGCCAGTAAAATACCAATAACGCGGGCGGTTAACATTCTTAAGTTACATTTTTTTTTTATTTGATGGGTGAAAATGGTATGGTAACCCCGCCCGCGCTAACGGAATACGCTGGCGGAGCACCAGTGAAGGGTGATAGATGAGAATGAAAACAGGCCAGTTAGCCCATCATGATGAATTCATCAGAAATTAACCATGATAGTTTCCAGGGAGAACCGCGAGGAGGTCGTCCTGGTTGGATATATTGCTAGCAATGGGATTTTCAGTTCTTAAGTAAGGGTAAAAGTATTTAAAAAAATACGTAAGCAGCGTGCAAAGCTGATGAAGAAGCGCCTCACCCTGGCGAGTTCGTGGTGCACGGCCGCACGGTGGCGCTGCAGCTGCGGCCCGGGGTGCGACCGCAGGTGCGTCAGCAGGCTGTACGCGCTCGGCCAGCCGCGCCCGCACACCGGGCAGCGGATCTTCACTGCACACACATATGTATACGGTTTACTCTATTTTTTTTATACAACTTACAATGGCAAACAAGCTGACGGCCCACCTGATGGAAAATGGTAACCGTCGCCTATACACATGAGCAGTACCATGGACATAACAGAGTATACTGTTCCGCCCATGATACCCCCCATGCGTTGCCATTCCTGAGGACTCAGGTGTTATTCCTCTGTACCCAGTAAATTCACACCATATCCCACCCTTCAAACCGAAACGCAGCCATGCAAACACAACTGCTTCACGGTTAGTACAATACTAATCAACTAACTGGTAATATGACTTCTGCAAGATAACACCTAGTTCAGAAAAATATTAATAAAATCTATGTTTAAGTGACAATATGGCTCACTCTTGGCGTTATCCCTCCTGGTGGCTCTCCACGAGGTCTGGTAGCAGGGGGCGCAGGTTCTGCAGCACGCCACCTCGCGGAGACATTTCCTCGCCTCCACATCTGCACTCTCGCTCTCGTTGTCTCTGAAATAACCAGAATAATAAACTACCGTCACACCCGGACATCACACTTTTTTTTTAAATAAAATATGGACTTTTTATTATTTATTTATTTATTCTTTATTGTACACAAAAAATTACAACATATGATATATATAAAATAAAGATGTACAACAGGCGAGCTTGACTCTGTAAGAGTTCTCTTCCAGCAAACCCTCAGTGGAAAGGAGCGTTAATTACCAGCGGGCAGTGTGCGTACAATAAGAAGAGGAAACAGTATAGATGTTTCTATTAAAAAATAATATATTGTTTTTTTATTTAACTTAGAATGGCAAACAAGCTGACAGCCCACCTGATGGAAAGTGGTAACCGTCGCCTATAGACATGAGCAGTACCAAGCACATAACAGAGTATACTGTTTCGCCCATGATACCCCCCATGCGTTGTCATTCCTGAGGACACAGGTGTTATTCCTCTGTACCCAGTAAATTAACGCCATATCCCTTTAAACCGAAACACAGCCATGCAAACACAACTGCTTCACGGTTGAAACACGAATGGGACAGAGGTACCCAAGCAATCGACTTTTGTACAAAGTCTCCATCTGGTAAAGTTTACCATTATTTATTTATAGGTTGTATAAAATAAAGATCTTACCCGTCATCAGTAAACTTATAAACCGATGTGATCGCTTCTTTCGGCTTGTAAGCCACCAGAATGTCACCATTTTTGCTCTCTTCCTTTGTTAACAGCACTTCGTCTACATGATGGCAGTTCCTGGGTACTTTTATGTTTTGCAATTCGTATGAATCTAGTATTTTCTTCTCACGGTACCTGGGCAGTATACTCTGGAATATCTGGGACTTTCTGACCCCATTCTCGTTCTCGACACTTGTCTTTGACCAGATCGCCGTCTCACTGTTACCTGTAATCAAGAAAAAATATTTTTAATATTCTGGTAGATTAAGAATGATAAAACAGTCATGAATAATCGTTATCATATCAACCCTTAACTGTCCAAAGTTCAATATAGGCCTTCCCCATGAGGAGGGTGTTGCCAGTGGTTGCTACACTTGGTAGATGGGTTGGCAACTGCAGTTAGGAGGGGAGAAGGTGATTGTTAGTAATCGGGTTTGACTACCCATTGCTAGCAATATACCCTAATAGGTCCACCTCCACGCGGTTCCCCCTGAAAACCATCACAGTTAATTTATAGTGAAATGATCACAATAGGCTAACTGATCTGCCTTTTTATCCTCACCAATCATCCCTCACTGGTGCCCTGCCAGTGTATACCAGGCAGGGTTACCATTTCATTATCATCCATTAAAAATAACCGCAGGATTTGGTGAAATTTTAAGACAGACGCTGCTGGCCATCCCTCGACCCTAAATTTCCCTGAGTCGCCTCTTACAACATTTACGGGAAAGGAAGTATATTTATACATATATTCATTTAAATGTACTATGTTTAATGACTATGTAAGACATACATATCTGTCACGCCTGTCTCCCATTAGGGTTGGCAGAAACAATGGAACGCCAAATGCTTCGATTCAAACAAACCTCTTTCGCTTCTTCCACATTCATCAATCTTTTCATACACGCTCGCCAGTTAGACATAGTACATTTAAATACAATATATGTGTACTTTTAATATACATATATTAACAGAAATTTAAAAGTTTGTGTTTCTTGTGGGATCTTCATGACAGATAACAACTTTTCGAACCCTGCAGTAGATTTAAAAACAAAATGACGATATAAAAGTGCTTGTAAGTGTATTTGAATACAGATGATTTTAATATCAAGGGGTGGTCCATTCTATGCCGGGACCACATGGCACAGAATGGGCCACAGTTATAAAAATTGTTGTTCGATAAATAATAAAACTATAAAACAAAAAATTTTATCAACCAGTAAACAATATAGACCTGTCGCTTTATTGACTATATTCCTAAGCACGATGCTCCTGGTGGAACCCTTGGTCACACCGCTCTCCGGCTTCAAGATATTATCGCAGTGTTTGAAATGCTGCAAGCACGCGTTGTTCCAAATCCTCAACTTCTTTACATCACTGTCGTTCTCCTTGATAGCCCTGACTGGTAAACATAGAGGATCCTCATAGTCAGGAATCTTTATATCCATCTTCTTTCTTGTATTAAGATCAATTGTTTTTGTTTTAAATATATTTATTTTAGAGGGTGCATTCGATTGCACAAGTACTTTGGGTCGATTTATATGTGTCAGTGTAGTTGTATATATTGATTTTGGCAACACTGTCGATTTACCATGAATTGTATTAACTTTTTCCGGTTTTCTTGCATGTTTTTTCTTTTTCATTTTCGGCACGGGACTGGGCACTTCGTCCCGTGGATCGTAGTCTGAGTCCTCGTCTTCTACTTTCCTTCTACGTTTCGGCCTCTCGGGTGCCCGCTCGACTAGGTATTCCTTGTCTTCTTCTTCTGGAACGATGGTGCTCTGGACGCATTGCTGCACAATATCCGCATCCTCATCCAAGAATTCAATTTCAGCATCTGTATCTACCTGTAATACAAAATCATAATTGTTTTTTTTTTTTAATTTTTATTATTTTTCTTTTATGCATCTTACAATGGCAAACATGAAGACCACCAGAGGGAGACTTTGCACAAAAATCGATTGCTTGGGTACCTCTGTCTCATTCGTGTTTCAACCATAAAGCATTTGTGTTTGCATGGCTGTGTTTCGGTTTGAAGGGTGGGATGGCATGTGGTAATGAAATTACAGGTGTAGCATAATACCTTAGTCCTCAGGAATGGCAACGCAGGAAGGTTATTATGGGCGACACAGTATACTATTTTATGCCTATGGTCCTGTTCATGTCAATAGGCGACAATTACCAGTTTTTTGTTTTTATACAACAAAAGTGGTAACCGTCGCCTATAGACACAACCCCCATGCGTTGCCATTCCTGAGGACTCAGATGTTATTCCTCTGTACCCTGTAAATTTACGCCATATCCCACCCTTCAAACCGAAACACAGCTATACAAACACAACTGCTTCACGGTTGAAACACGAATGGGACAGAGGTACCCAAGCAATCGAAAATTGTACAAAGTCTCCCTCTGGTAAAGTTAAGTGGTGTATGCCAGTAAGGCATTACTATTCAAGAAGAAGAGTCTATCCTCGCACACACTGTGTAGATTGTGCGGCAAGAAATCGGAATCTATGACACACTTGATGTACAACTACGATTTGTTGACAAATATGCATATGAGTGGGGGGAAAGGGATTGTTAGCAATGGAGTTTGACAGCCCTATTGCTAGCAATATGCCCTATTAGGTCAACCTCCACGTGGTTCCCCCTGGAAACCATCGTGAACAAATCTTGTTGAATTCGTCACGATGGGCCAACTGACCTGCTTCATCCTCATCTATTATTCTTCACTGGTACTCCGCCAGCGTATCCCGATAGCGCAGGCGGGGTTACCATTCCATTATCACCCATTAAAAAAAAAATATGCATATGAGTATACTCTAAGGGCTTATAAAGAGCCAAGGGACTACAGGTATCTTAAAACAAGGGATATTATATTCATTTATTTTAACATCCATTGTATAAGTAGGTAGGTATTATATTTATTTATAGTATATATATATTTATGTAATATTTTATTATATATCTTAATATTTTATTTAACTGTATATTTGTTTATGTATTAATAGTTGTAGCACTTCAGCTGCCCGCTAACGACATGCTTTCTCACTGTATTGGGTTGACTGGAAGAGATCTCTGTCAGAGATAAGTCCACCCTTGCTCACAATATTCATAAATACATTAACAATGTAATTTACAAGTGCAATAAAGAATATATGATATAAAGATAACACATATAAACTGTAAAATGATAGTTTAAGACTGGAGGAAGCACAAAGAATCCCAATAGGCTAACATGCAACAGCTTATATGACCTAATATGGGAATAAAGGGGGGGAAAGGGATCGTTAGCAATGGAGTTTGACAGCCCTGTTGCTAGCAATATATCTTATTAGGTCGACTTTCACATGGTTCCCCCTGGAAACCATCGTGAACAATTTTTGTTGAATTCGTCATGATGGGCTAACTGACCTACTTCATCCTCACCTATCACCCTTCACTAGTGCCCCGTCAGTGTATACCGATAACATGGGTGGGGTTACCATTCCATTATCATCTATTAAAAAAAAATATGGGAATAAAAGACAAGGTGGTGTATTACCAATAACCAAGGTCATCAAGTTAACAATGATTTCTATTATGTGTATTTTAGTTTGTTTCCAAAGCAGAACAACAATATTACTAATTACTAAATCCTTTACAGGAAAGGGATTGTTTATAATGGGACTAAAGGCCCCATTGCTAACAATATATCTTATCAGATTGACCTCCATGCGGTCCCCCCTTGAAACCACCTTGATTGTTTTTTTATCAAGTCATCACTATGGGCCAACTGACCTGCTTTCATCCTCATCTATCATCCCTCACTGGTGCCCCACTAGAGTATACTATTAGCACAAGCAGGGTTACTATTCCATTATCATCTATTAAAAGAAAAAAAGTTAATAAATCCTGCTATGCTAGTAGGATAGAACAGCAAACAAGCTAACAGCTCACTATACCAAACAGGAACCATTGTCTATGACATGTATGGCACCATGGACAATAGAATACAATAATATCATGTCAATGAACATAGAATACAATAATGTCCATAGTATGTCTTATGTGTTCCCATTCCTGAAGTCTATGTTAATATGCACACTTATTTATAACTAACCATATTGTTATAAGGACTCCTTTCCAAACTGGACATGATTGTATGCCTGTCACCTTCAAGTATTACTTCTTTAGTAGTTGTTTGTAACCATATTTACATGTGTACCCTGGAATATAAGCATTTTTACAACTTCTATTATTTTTTATTCCATTTTCATCCTTATACATATTCATAGTACATAATAATATTAAATAAATATGTAGCAATGAATTTAATTAGATTTGTAAACAACTGCATGTGTGGCTTTTGGACGCTACATAGTCACTCATAATTAAAGGTCATAGATGCTCCCAAAACTAGACAAAATGTTAAAAATAGAAATATAATATTTTTCATATAAACACAAATTACTGGCTGATTGTAATTTAAAAATGGGTTTTTTAATTAAGTTGACACTCATCTAAGATAATTGCTGCTTTCTGTATTTGCTCTAATATAAAATTTTATCATACTTTTATACTGTGTTAATCTTATTCCTATCCACTACAAAAATGTTAGCTAGTATCTCAAGCTAAACACTAATTTAAGCATTCATGAATAAAATACACTTAATCTGGTTATTTATTCATTTGCTAGATTCAGGTAGATACATATAGATGTGGATATACACAGAGGTGTGGCTCGAAGTCCGCATAGACATTAAGTTCATTTTATTTCCCTTTTTATTAATAAGTACAAAGTGTAAATAATATAACTCGAGGAATAAGACAGCAGTTTGAAGATGCCGAACTGACTTGTAACCTTTAACTAAGCAATAATTGATTCTACTAAAAAAATCTGTAAACGCTAAGGATTTTCCTTAGTGTATTCCTATATCTACCTGTATTACGTTAAAACACAAGTAATTATTAATATGAAATAAAACTAAAAACATACCAGAAAACAATACAAGACGGCAACTACTCTGTGTAATAAACAGAACATAAAAAAACCTCTGTTTTTTACGGTACTCTGCAGGGTTGTCAAATTGGAATTTAGAGTTTTACCCAAAAGTGAAATATTATTTTCTAATTCTTTTCTACCCTTGCTCCATCATTTATTATACCTTCAGTCACATATTTTTTTAAAATTATTTACCTTATATAACCATATACAGACAAAATTTCTAAGAAAAAAATATACCCAAATCTTTCCATTTCACTTTTTTTTAAGAATTTAATTTCTCCAAAATTTCACTTTCAGAAAAATTTATACCCAATATTGTGAAAAAAATATCCAATCTGGCAATACCGATACTCTGCCAGTCGTAATTTTCTTAGCAGTTTATGGTTGGACTAATTGCCATAAATCATAGAGAAGTGACATTTAATTAGCCTTACCAGATTTTATATTTTTTCCTATTAGTGAGTAAAAATTTTGTGATTGTAAAATTTAAATTCATAGAGAAATGTAGGTAAAAAAAAGGAAATAATTTTAGAAAAAATTAAGTACTTTTTCATAGTTTTGTTATTTGTAAACTACAAATGAGTAAATTATACCAATAATATAAATAATGGACAACAAAGAGTAAGACACGAAAAGCATAGAGCTTTTATATTTGTATATTTTGTGATTTAATGAAAAATGAAATGTGTGACTGAATGAAAAAAATTGACACAATTTTATGATTGATTGAAAATAAAGAAAATCATCGATTTTTAGAAAGATATTTGGATAAAAATTAAAAGTAGCATCTAGCAACCCTTATTGTCAGCTCTGTCAAAGTCAATATAATCTGTGGTCAATATATTAAATAAAAATGTCGGACAAGTTAGTATTTTCTTAAAATTATTCAATATTTTTCTTAAATTCTTTAATTTTATCGCTAGTTGTTAGCTACAAAGTGTTTATTATTTCTTAAATTTTACTGTGTACATAAAATTATTTGATTGAAAGCCTATCTTTAAGTTTCATTCAAGTGTTTGTTGTGTGCATGTGGATCAACGAAATCAATGATTTACGTTTATTTTTTAATAAATTTTCAGTGAAGATTTATTGGGCGATGATCTTGGTGATCATAGCCTTGCAGATTATAATCTAGGAAACGAAGAAGAGGAGCAACTTCTAGCTGATGACTATGAAACTGGGTCTTCACAAAATGTGCCAACTTCGATTGGTCCGGGTTATGGAAACGGCGTTGACATGGTTACTACGGAGTATACTGGAAATGGCATCGATTATGGCCAGGTAATTTCTTTTATGAGATTATATAAATTTATCTTTTTTCCTTATTCAATCATTTTTAAAAATTAAAATGACAAGAAATAAATAGATTTTTTTATAGTGCTACTATTGAGTGTCTGATTGAGCAAGACTTACTCAACAACATGAAATTAAGATTAACTTCAAATGTTATCTAATTGTAAATGGTTTTTATCAGGATGGGCAATGCCATCCTCTCCTGCCATGTTTTACTTTAATACACACTTCAAATTATGGCTCTTTTTAATAGTGTTATATTTACCAAAATGTCAACTGTCAACTAATACAGTAAACACTCTAGATAAGCAACATTCTTTATATTTTATTTATTCTACTCGGCTTATTTAGTAAAAGAAATAAGTAAAATATAATATTTTCCAGGCAATATTTATTTTTATACTTCTTTTTTCCTATAAGCAACTTTTCCCAATAAGAAACTTTTTTATTGAAATTGGTTCAAATGAGTTGCTAATATTTTTTTATTTATAGGATCACCAACATAAGATGCAATGAAACATTTTAATACAATACGCCGGTAGATTAGATCTAACTATTCTTACATTTATAGGCAACCACAGCATGACTTGTGTTTGATAAACATTACAATGGAATTAAATTATTAAATATCATTAAATTAATAAAGATAATATTAAATGAATGAAATTATATAGAATGTTCACTTTTTATCCCATTAGAAATTTCAGTCGAAAGCATATATTTTTTTTTATTTTATTATTTTACTTTTTGAATATCTGCAACTTCATCTATGCAGCTAGTATATTTTAATTGACTTGGATAAAGTCACTTATGTCCTTCTCCATCTTAAATAGTAGGGAAAAAACATTTTTTCCCCAATTTAATCTGCAGAATTGTTTGCAATTAATAACAAAATATAGCAGTCCCCTTATAACATGGTAGATTTGTTTTGCATTATAGGAAAACCCGTTGTAGGAGTATTATAACACACTTGTATGACCCCATACAACATGTTATATACAGGGGGGAAAGGCATTGTTAGTAATGGAGACTGAGAATCCCATTGCTAGCAATATACCCAACCAGGTCGACCTCCTCGCGGTTCCCCCTGGAAACTATCATGATTCATTTCAGATGAATTCATCATGATGGGCTAACTGGCCTGTTTTCATCCTCATCGATCACTATTCACTGGTGCCCCGCCAGCATATCCCGTTAGCGCAGGCGGGGTTACCATTCCATTTTCATTCAATAAAAAAAAAAACATGTACAAGTAATTCATGTTTAACTATTCTTGTTAAAGGTTTAAATTGAATATTAAAAAAAAAACTATGTTGTCAATGAAATATGTGTTTTATTAAAATCAGACTAAGAATATTTGATTTAAAAACTTATGTAATTAAAAAAAAAAACAGTTACTTTTAAATAAATTAACAGTTTATTTAAAATTAACTGTTTTCATTAATTGTTGGGGCGTCATCTTTAATTTTCAAACAAGGAAGAGAGACTCTCTTAGGACTATAATAGGACTTAAAGATATAGGATGAGTAAAGCAACCCCACCATTCTGCGAACTTTGACCTCCCCTCATAATTGATTTCCTTACAGTTGAATTAGACTTTTTTTGTAAAACGCAATCTTGATTATAATATTATTGAAGATATCAGATTTCAATTGTTCCTGTTAACCAAATGAACATTTCCAGCCAATGTCGTTCCAGCCCGCGGTGGAGGCGGAGTGTGTGGTACCCAACATAACGGTGGAGGTGGCCAACGCACCGTTACCAGAACACTCGACGTACGCACCGTACGAGCCTCCCGTGTACAGGCCTGAGCATGCTGTCGTTCCGCCTCCCATAGTGAGTAGAACTGTAGGAATGAGAACATTTCTATTTGCATTATACAACATCCTATGAATTAATAAAATTGTATCTACAGGATGTCCGTACATGGAAGATATTTGTTAAAAATTATTATAAAGAAGAAAGGAGTAAAATGATAGGTGGTTACATTACAAAAGATTACATTATTATTGTTACATCAGCTGTTAACTGTCCAGTATCAAATATAGGCCTTCCGCTATTAGGAGGCTTTGCCAGAAGTTGCCAAGCTTGTCTGGCGGATTGACAACCGCAGTTAGGTTTTGGTGATATTCTACGAGAATTTGCTGCTGCCCTTTCATAAAAAAGAAGGAAGGATTACAGTAGTAAATTTTTATCTATATACAAACAATAATAAGAAATGTTTACATTGATTAAACAATGGGAGACCTTCTTGCTAAAAGTGAACTTTTCCAGGCAACAACTGGATGGAGAGGTGTGGTTATAAACAGTTTGATTAGAGGCATCATGAAAATTCTGTTATTTTTTAATACATATAATTGTAGTATGTGCCTTAATGTAAATAAATAATTGTTTCTTTAATAAACAATAAATATTGAATAGTTTGTATGAGTACATACAAATTTGAGATGGAAATACTTTCTTGTACATAGTTTGAAGGTATGATTTTTCAATAGTCAGGTATTAGTTTTTGAATTCAATATTTATTTAACTCGGGTGTCTTTAGAATGTTCATTTTCTCTAATAGGATACATTGAGAAAAATATTCAGGACATGAGTAGAATAGTGGACAGTTAACGACTGATATGATGGTGATGATGGTGATGATTGATGATGATCAGTAGATTATTCCTTTAAATAGATAAAACAAATAGTCTTTACCATATATTTGATGTGGTACTAGATCAAGTAGCCAAGTATCTGCCTACAGTATGGAATTTTTCAAAAATAATATATTAAGGTTTTTTTTTTTAATAAAATGGAATGGTAACCCCGTCTGCGCTAACTGTATACGCTGGCGGGGCACCAGTGAGAGATGATAGGTGAGAATGAAAAGGCAGGTCGGTTAGCCCATCATGATGGTGGAGGTCGACCTGACAGAGTATATTGGTCTGGGAGGAAAGGGATTGTTAGTAATGGAGACTAAGAATCCCATTGCTAGCAATATACCTAACCAGCTCGACCTACTCGTGGTTCCCCCTGGAAACTATCATGGTTAATTCCTGATGAATTCATCATGATGGGTTAACTGGCCTGTTTCCATTCTCATCTATCACCCTTCACTGGTGCTCCGCCAGCGTATCCCGTTAGCGCAGGCCGGGTTACTATACCATTTTCACCCATCAAAAAAAAAGACACGAGTATATTGCTAGTAATGGGCTTGGTAGTTCCCCCCCCCCCCTATTTAATATAGCTTTCTTCAGGGTCGGCAACACGCACGTGACACCCCTAGTGTTGCAGGCGTCCATAGGCTACAGTGACCGTTTACAATCAGACGGGCTGTATGCTTGTTTGCCACCTTTATGGTATAAAAAAGCCAATAGTAAAGCTATTGGTTCTCCTTCACTTTCTTAATTATATTAATTGTTATATGATTTTACAGCCAGCAACAGTACCTGCGGAATCGTCACAAATAGTTCCCTCAGAGATGGCAGCACCTGTGCCTAGTGAGTATATTTTTCTATATTTACGAGTATCACCATACACATACTTATCTGGCACGAAAAGGGACTAAATGGGGTCTAATTGTCTTATTGCTAGCAATATACCCTAACAGGTCAACCTCCTTGCAATTTTTCCCTTTGAAAATTATTGTTTTTTGTTGAATTCGTTTCATCCTTACTTGTCATCTCTCATTGCTACCTCACATGCTCACTGGATCCACTATTTCATTTACATTCAGAAAACTATATGTGATGCTATTTAGTATAGTGGTATTTATAGCATTTTATATGGAGCTACCGCTAGCTATAGAGCTAAGAACAAGGAATTACATAGAAGGAATGATACAATAAAAACTGTAAATCATATGGTTGGTTCCTTTCTTCTTATGCAAATATAATTAGTAAAAAGAAGACAAAAGATACACCATCAGTTGCTATTTTTCTCAATTCATAGCAGGTTATTGTATAGAAAATGTTTCACACGTCAATTATTTGTCAATGACAAATTTTACATTACTAGATTATATATTCGACACAGTTTATGTAGATAGATAGATAGATAAATAATTTATTTGCATTATTTAAAGCACATAAACAGCAATAGATATAAATGCACAGTAAAAAAAAGATAAAAAAGATACATGTACAAAAAATTAGAAAAAAAAAAAACAAAAACAAAATTTATCAAATTAGTAACAATTTTTCCCTTCATGCGTGTGTCACAGTAATACAAAATGGCCACAACTCAGTTTATAGCTTTGCCCTAAAAAGAGCAAAACACTGATGTTCTGTTGTGGGCGAAAGTGAGCCGCGAAATTTCACTGAAAAAAAAAAATTATAAAAAAAAGAAATATAGATGAAATACATTGTGTGTATTTCATCTATATTTCTTTATCTGATTAACAAATAAATGACAAATACCATTGGAAGAAGGGTAGTCAGAAGTCAATTTCTGTTAGTTTCAAGCACTCTAAACATAAAAGACTCATAATATACTAAAAAAAGATAAACGCAAATAAATAATACATATGTGTATAAAACATATGTATTATTACATGTATTATTACATAGTGTGTATAAAGTACGCAAGCAGGTTGTATCTGAATTTGGTAGGGTTATACGGCCGTATAACATTTTCTATACACTAGCTCTTTGCTATGAATTGACAATTTTATCACTCCTTCTATGTAATACCTTGTTCTTAGCTCTGGTCATTTTTACTTTTCGTATCACTTGCTACATGTGAAATATTCTAAGCTTAAAAGGAGATAAAAAAAAATGATTTGTTGCAGACAATGTGGAGGGCGGCGGCCGCGAGCGGTTCACATCCGAGCGGCCGGCGCACGCGCCGCGCCAGCCGCAGCTCAGGGACATCCCCGACAGTTTAGGTGCGCGGGCTGCTACCATATATCTGTGTACTAACATTATAAAGACGAAATATTGTTTTATTTTTACTGTAGTAAGATTACCTCAAGTTAACTTAATTGGAAGCATTTTTGAATATTTTCAAAATTCATTCAAAATTCAATTAATTAATATTCAAAAATACCTATATTTAATAATTATGTTTACTTGAATAAGAGTCATCCGATTATCGATCCGATACCAGAGAGAGACTTTGTACAAGTCGTTTCCTTGAGCACCTCTGTCCCATTCGTGTTTCTACCGTGAAACAGTTGTGTTTGCATGGCTGTGTTTCGGTTTGAAGGGTGGGATATGACAGTGAATTTACAGGGTACAGAGAAATAACACCCGAGTCCACAGGAATGGCAACGCAAGGAGGGGTATCATGGGCGAAACAGTATACTCTGTTATGTCCACGGTTCTGCTCATGTCTATAGGCGACGGTTACCACTTTCCATCAGGTGAGCCGTCAGCTTGTTTGCCATTCTAAGTTGTATAAAAAAAATGAAAAGGCAGGTCAGTTAGCCTATTGTGACGAATTCGAGGAGGTCGACCTGACAGGATGTATTGCTAACAATGGGGCTACTAATCCCCATTATTAACAATCCCTTTTCCCTCCGTTTGAAAATTTTTAATAATACATATATGTATTATTACAATAACCGGTTATTTGCAGACAAAGTGATAGTCCCGCGCGGGCCGGCCGCCGCCTGGGGCCGCGCCTGGCGGCCGCCGCACGTCTACCGCCGCCGCCACCACCGGGTATGTACCGACACATACACATACATACAGTTACACATCTTAATTTACATTTATATAAACAAAATACACATATAATTCATTTTACATTTATTACATTCTTGTTTGGAACCCAAAATTGATCCTAGCGGTACACCTCTAATTTTCACGACATTCGAAACGGTATTTCTTCAAATATGAATTACTATATACAATAAAAAAAAGGAATATAATGTACATTATTGATTTTGCGTCTGTTTACTCAGGGAAGCTTCAACCACCGAGCACCGTTTCCCCCTCAACAATTACGACAGAGCCCCCCACGAGTACGACCAAGTCCTCCGCAAATACGACCAAGTCCCCCACAGGTTCGGCCAGATATTTGTCCTGATATTCGGCCCGAAATAACGCCAGATGTACGACCAGATCTTCGTCCTGGCATACACCCTGATATTCGACCAGATATAAGGCCGGATATTCGACCGCCAGTAGGACCGATGCCCTTGGATCCCCCCATGGAACCCGATCATAGGCCTCTCCCAATGGGCCCCGAAATATCCCCAGAGAGACCAATGCTTCAAGAGGTACCATTCAGACCTCTCGAGAATCGACCATTCGGGCCTAATTTTCAAAGATTCCCCAATCAATTCAGGCCAAACATGGAAGAGCCGAGGATGTTTGGGCCAAATGTTAGGCCGAGTTTCGACCCTCGCCCCATGTATCCTTACCCTCGCCAGGCCAATCCTAGGGCTCCTGGGCCTTTCGGGCCTCCTGTTAGGGAAATAGCGCCGTATCCTATTCCTCAAGTGACCATAAGGCAACCCTTGCCGGGGTTGCCATTGGCTAAACTGGACAAGTTTGGTGGGAAAGTGGTGGGGAGGGAGCAGGAGGTGCGGATGTTGCCGCTGCAGCTGCCGCCCGGCGGGCTGGCGGGGAAGAAGGTGCTCATCAATCCACACTTCAAAGGAAACATTCAGCCACCTGTTGAAGGTAATGTATTATTGTTATCATAGATTGATATTTTTTTTTATACAACTTAAAATGGCAAATAAGCTGACGGCTCACCTGATGGAAAGTGGTAACCGTCGCCTATAGACATGAGCAGTACCATGGACATAACAGAGTATACTGTTTCGCCCATGATCCCCCCCCCCCCCCATGTGTTGCCATTCCTGAGGACTCAGGTGTTATTCCTCTGTACCCTGTAAATTCACTGCCATATCCCATCCTTCAAACCGAAACACAGCTATGCAAACACAACTGCTTCACGGTTGTAATACGGTAGGTACCCAAGCAATCGACTTTTGTACAAAGTCTCCCTCTGATCATATCTAATCTGTCATTTATTACTGTTGTAGTGAATTTAACACTCGACTTCACCATAAGGGTAACTTCGAGTTAAATTCTCTGCAATATATGGAACAACCAATGGTCTGACACCTTTACCATGTCCTAAAAGATTACATGACAATTAGCGAAGTATTTCTCTATCTAAACGTGTCTATTGGACGACTGGTATGACGCCGGATATATAGAAATCGTGTTTATTTTTTTTAAATGTGTAATAATGGAATGGTAACCCCGCCCGCGCTATCGGATAAGAAGGCGATATAGATAATCAAAAGGTACACAGTTGTAGTTCGAGTTAGTCATAAAAAAAATTAAAAAGATATTGGGCTCGGTCGTTATTAAGAGTGGGTATATATATAGTAATATCTATATATGGTAGTTACAATATCTATACATATATTGACCTAATGATTGATATATTAGATATCGTTTATCCAATATATAATATAAAAAATAAGAACTCGCTCGTAATGAATATAGACATTCGACTGGTATGGGTGATAAAGCAATGGGTGGTCATCAGTATGCAGGACTCAGTATATAGATGTTTCTACCACCGTACGGCTCGCCATCGACAGGGAGTTCATCCTCATGTCCTACAGCCTCAATGGTCGCGTACTGCGCGGTTTCAGAGATGTTTCCTCCCACGAACACTCAGGTTGTGGAATGAGCTCCCTGCCGTGGTTTTCCCAAGAGACTACAGCATGGGGTTCTTCAAAAGGGGGGGGGGGGTAAAGAGGTTTCTTCAGGGTCGGCAACGCGCGAGTAGTTCCTCTGGTATTGCAGGTGTTCATAGGCTACGGTAACCACTTACCATTAGGTGGGCCGTATGCTTGTTTGCCACCTCAGTGGTATAAAAGAAAAGATAAGGGATATAAAATTAAAGTACTAAGTAATTTACTACTACAAACATATTTGCGTTTAATACTTTATGATCGTTACGTTATGGACCGTGTGAATGTAAAAATGAGAACACATTGTAAAACAAATACTATTTCGAAATACCATAGCTTTTTCATTGCATAACACAATCTCTATGGAGGGAAAGGGATTGTTAGAATGGGGTTTAACTGACCCATTGCTAGCAATACACCGCATCAGGTTGACCTCCACTGGGTTCCCCCTGGAAACGATCGTGGTTAATTCTAGTGGATTTCATCACGATGGGCTAACTGACCTGCCTTCTTCCTAACCAATCATCCCTCGCTGGTACCCCGCCAGTGTATACCGATAGCACAGGTGGGGTTACCATTCCATTATCATCCATTAAAAAAACAATTATTGTTGAGTGCCAGTATTGAAACAGTCAATTGTATAGGGCTGCCACTGCCTACGTATATACCGACGCGGATACAGAGGTCGCCACCGCTCAGCCCGACGCTGGAGAGCAAATTCGGTAAACTATGTGACAATTACCACAATTGTTTCATTTGCCACTTGTTTCTGTATGGTAATTAAGTTACTTCCTTATCGTAAACTGGCTGTTGCCCGCGGCTTTGCACGTGTAGTGTCCTTTTTTTTTTATTAAGTGAAAATGTTGAAGTCTTAGCAGATACTTAAGTTGTAAAGCTATATTCCAATTTTCAGCTTTTTATATAGATATTAATACACCATACTCGTACATGAATTACAAACATAGCATAGATAACAAAATTTATACCTAATAGTTATATGTATATATATACATACATACATACATACACGTGCATGTAAAAAAAAGAAAGCAAGAAAGACAGAGCAATGATAGTTTAGGAATGATTCTGTGGACTGTACACTTACTCTTTTTATTCTCAGAGTGTAGATCAAACTTGGCAGTTTTTTTTCCATGTTTCTTCTTAGTAGCTATAATCTATTTTCAATTGACTTCAAAATGAAGAATAAAGAAGTATTTTTTGTTTTATGTTTGTTACTTCATAACTCCGTCAGTTCTGAACCGATTCGGATAATTCTTTTTTATCTGAAAGGATTATACTTACAGATTGGTCCCCGAGATATTTTATTTAAATCGTTGTAGTAGTTTAGTTTTTAAATTAAAATGACTGTTTACGCCACGATTGAGAAAAAAAAAAATTTATTTTTTTTTCAATTTATTCTTATTTATGTTAAAAGACCCGTGAATTCTGATCTACCAGTTGCTTGAAATAAAGTTATTTTTATGCAACTTAGAATGGCAAACAAGCTGACGGCCCACCTGATGGAAAGTGGTAACCGTCGCCTATAGACATGAGCAGTACCATGGACATAACAGAGTATACTGTTTCGCCCACATATCCCACCCATCAAACCGAAACACAACCGTGCAAACACAACTGCTTCACGGTAAAAACACGAATGGAATATCCATGCTCATGTGTAAAGGCGACGGTTACCACTTTCCATCAGGTGGGCCTGCAGCTTGTTTGTCATTCTAAGTCGTATAAAAAAAATTAATATTAATGACTTGAACTATAATTAGTGTCGTTGAAATGTATTGTTATGTCACGCATGAATCTTTGTTAGCACTGCTCTTATGCTTTTATCTTTATTAAAAACATTTTTATTTTATTTATTTATTAATATTTGTTTTTTTTTATGAGTTTTTGATGTTAACCTTTTATAATTTACCGTAGTTAAGTACTATATCGTACTATTGTATCGTCACGATATAATAGGAGAACAAAGTGTATGGGAGGATGAGTTTTAAATCGTTTTTAATGCATGATATCGTCGCGATAAATAAAGATTGTTCATACCGTAATTTTCCGAAATCTAGCATGTATTTGTAATTTGCAATGTTCAAAAACAATTGAACAATTTTCGACGTTACTTATTGGTTAGTTAAAAAGTGATCTGCTAGCAAATTAAAACCACACCCCGGACACTTGATACAAAAACGCCACGATGTATGTTTGTCACAACTACATGAACAAGTAACGTCTGTACACGGTGACGATGTATGCGTGTGTGGTTAGGGATAGCGCGGGAAAAGCGCGCGCTTCGATGTATTGTGTATTGTGGTTCTGTTATGGTTTACGTCAAATAATCTAGTATTGCCTTAGCGATAAGACCGCTTTTTGTACCTATATGTGTATATTTGAGTCTGTATTTATGTTACTGTGTTTCACTTGAATTATTCACTTGTCATTGTATATTCTTGTTTTTGGTGCAATAAAGAGTTAAATAAATAAATAATTAATAATTCAAAGATAACGAAATGTGTCAGATTCTCCATATCTAATGTTAAGCAAGTGAATACCGCTATTAGATTAGACCACCAGGATTTAGACTTTGTGGATAAAACCACTTTTTTTTGGCATACTAGTTGATTACAAATTGCAATGGGGCTCCCATATATTTGAATTGGCCAACAGGTTGATTTCAGCTGACGCGTGTTTGAGAGAGGATGAGATTAGAAGGCTTACCTTAAAATGTGTTCCGAAATTTCGGAGCCAAATGAAACACAAATTTGATGTTAAAATTACATTATACAGCATTTTTTATTATAAAGTTTGGAAATATTAAAAATGTTAAAATATTGTTCCTTTAGACTTTTATGATAGGATGTATGACGAATGAAATGTTAAACTCCATTTATTGGTCCGATTTTTGTATAAACAAAAACACGAAATTGAGTCCGAAATTTCAAATTTCATTTCATGATAGACCCGCAGATCGTAGTGGGCGACAGGGAATGTTCATACTATATTCTAGTACTATTAATACTTATATTGTACTAAAATGTTAATCATATAATACTTAGCATGTAAATATTATAATAACGTATGTGGTGTTCGCTTGTAAAAGACTTTTACATTAGGCAAATTTATTTTTTGTGTTATTGGTTAAGTAGCATGTAACATGTAGAAGTTCACCTTCCACAAGCAATCGACTTTCGTACAAAGTCTCCCTGTCAACAGAGGGAGACTTTGTACATAAGTCGATTGCTTGGTTCAATAAATAAATCACTAAAAATTTGTCAAATCATATTTTGCTTCGGAATTTTTCAAATTCATTTGGCAAAAAATGCCATCAAAATCTAATTTTCAATGACAGCTTAATAAGAATATTATTATATTACTAATGTTATAGTTAGTAGAAACACTTTTTAAATACAGTCAGAAATATCATACAAGCAGCGGTCCAATCCAGTCCAGCGGCAACTTGTTACATTACTATATAATAATATATCTTATTACAGATAACTATGATTCATTTTTGTTGGTAACAATTGATTTAAACTATGTTAGTAAAAATATAACGAATCATTCTAATTTTGACGTTAAAGTTAGTAAAAGCACTTTTTAAATACAATCAGAAATACCATGCAGCGAGTAGTAGAATCATAAAAAATGGCGATTTAATTGAGTTTGTAAACAAGTCTATTTAAATAAAAATAATTTTCATTCTATTCTTCTGAAACATGTTCAATTTTTTTTTTTTTTTGTTTAATATATACTGAACCGCATACCGAACGCTCTTTGTAGTGTTTCCGTACAATAGCACATATTTTGTTCTTCTATTATATCGTGACGATATAGTTGTACGATATCGTGCCGCAATACGGCGATTTATAAAATTACCCTATGGATTTTAATGTGAACATACTGTTACTGCATGGCGCGTGCGCAACACACGGATAAATAGACTAATTTTGTCTAAAAAATGTTGTCTTTCCTATTTTATTATTAATATCCTTCAAAGTTCGTTTTTTCGAGAGTTGGCAACCCTATCCTATGTACCAACTTGACAAATGGCAAACGAATATATGTTTATATCACCGCATACATGAAATAAAACGAGATAACAATGTCTAGCTAGTTCTTTCTCACACACCCTGCGGTAATGTAAACGTATCTACAGAAATTTTCGTTTACCACTTGTTTAACAGGGTCGGCGTTTATCTAAAACTAGTATTATAGTACATTTTAATGCGTGTACTTGCAGGGCCAATAAAGGACATTGACCAGGCGGCCGAGCGGTTCATAGCGGAGCAACGAGATGCCCTAGCGAGGGCGGCTGCGAGGAAGTTTGCACCAGCACACCCGCCACGTCGGGATCCGCAGAGGTATGCAACTATGCACCAATTTTACTAATAATTAAACCCGGTTTTACTCCGGTTCGCTCTCGATCCAGATTAATGCCACTTTTCATTGTAATTTTATAACTCAAAAACGGGCTCACCTATCTAAACCAAATGTTTACGCTTTGTTCGGACTATTTAGTAGATGGTTTATGTGAAGTTTGCACAAAATCGGTCGAGCGGTTCTTCATTTATCACATTTTTTTGTAACAAATCAATTCAATAAATGGCGGATCATTTTGTTAATGGGGATTTTTGTGTCAAATTCAAACTTTTTTCAATGTTGACTTATTTTTGTCAGTACAAGCATGTTGCTATGTCATTCATGCGGTCATTTCATTTTGGACGTGCTTTGATTAAAGCAATTTGTATTTGCAATATATATATATATATATATATATATATATATATATATATATATATATATATATATATATATATGTTGAATATTCAAATTTAATGTCCTAGTTGAGTAGAACCCACGAGAAAAAAAACTTTGGTCATTGACACCGCTGGTAAATTGTTACTGTGCCATGTTATCGTTTTCAAATTGAGAATCTTTGCTAGCAATTTGCTATAGAAATGGCCATCTCTTCCTTTCCCGTGGGTGTCATAAGAGGCGACTAAGGGATCTAATGGTTGAGGGAGGGGGGAAAGGGATTGTTAGCAATGGAGTTTGACAGCCCCATTGCCAGCAATATGCTCTATTAGGTCGACCTCCACGTGGTTCCCCCTGTAAAACCATCGTGAACAATTCGTCACGATGGGCCAACTGACCTGCTTCATCCTCACCTATCATCCTTCACTGGTGCCCCGCCGGTGTATACCGATAGCGCAGGCGGGGTTACCATTCCATTATCATCCATTAAAAAAAAATGGTCGAGGGATGGGCAGTGGCGTCCCTCTAAAACATCACAATGTCAAGCGGGGCAACTACTGGGAACTTCCCCTTATTAAGCAGGCGTATGTACAGCAGTGGACAGTCAACGTCTGATATGATGGTGATGATTGCGGCCGTTGATTCTTGTTCTGAATACTTCATCCCCCTTCAAATGATTGTCATCTTGTTACAGGTACATAGAGAATACGACGATAGAAATAGAAAACGAGCTGGCCACCAGCAGCGGCGGCGGTGGCGGCGGCGGCGGCGGGGCGGTGGCCGCGCGGCGGAACAGCGACGACGAGCTGCTGCTGCGCCAGGAGGCCTTCATCAGCGCCAACCGCGCCGGCCTGCGCAGGAGGTCAGCTGTCAAATATATACATAGATACATAGTTAATTTCAAATATTTGCACATTTTATTTACACATATTTCTTTTCCCGTCGGTGTCGTAAGAGTCGACTAAGGAGGGCGAGGGATGGGTAGCAGCGTCCCTTTTAAAAACACACTCTTTTTACACCTGAAATTCAGCACGATGGTTTCCAGGTGGGACCACGTGGAGGTCGACCTGACAGGGTATATTGCTAGCAATGCGACTAATATCCGGTATTATTAACAATCCCTTCCCCCCTCCCGTACACAGCCAAGACAACACTAGAAATATTTGATATTAGAAGATACTTACGCCACACTCGTGGTATTTGTGATACTGTAATGTTTACGCCATATTGTTTTGCAGGATGCGGTCGCCGTCCCCGGGCCGGCGGTCGCCGTCGCCGCGCCGCTCGCCCGAACGTCGCCGTCCCACGCCGCCCCGCGACGAGGTACGTACCGCTCTGTCCTTATTTGTGTCCAATATACATACGCTACACTCACCGTTTACTATCACACGGATTCTGTGCTTGTTTACCACCTTCATGGTATAAAAAATATATATATATATATATATATATATATATATATATATATATATATATATATATATATATATATATTGTTCGCGACATTGTAATCAAATGTATAGTTTATAGCGATATTTTATAGTTATTTTCGTCATTAGTTTTAATCGTTTAAATTGTTAATTTTACATAGATTTTTATGATGTATCTATAGCTTGTAAGTTGAATAAAACATTTTATTGTGTCGACTCATTATTAACCACAAGTAGAAATAAGAAAAAGATTGTAAAAATAATAGTAATAAGACAATTGTGATAAATAAATAGACGCCAAATGGTGCCGCTCTGAAGAGTCACGCGTCCCTCTCACACTCGCCCCGTCCCGCTCGCACAGACTCGCTAATGTGAGTTGGTACACGTTATCGTGCGACCGGGCGGGTATAAAGATAGGCCGCCTACCGTCGAGCGGCACGCGGATCAGCAAGCAGTCGCAGCGTCAGCAACAGTGAAAATCGACAGCACCAGAAGATTCATCGCAGCGGCAGCACCGATTCATCTTCGCTGCGTGTGCGCCACCGCAAGGAGCTCCAACGAGTGCACCACCGCGCCAGCGCCACCGAACAACCGCCGTGGCAGAGCCACCGCGTGCTACGAGCTACGAGCCCTCGCCACTCAACTCCGCGTGCACCGTCGCCTTCACCGCCGTCGCACCGCTCGGACCCTCCGTAGCCAGCGCCAACAAGAAGACGTTGTCTGGTGCGTTTGTTGTTGCAAACGTACCGGGCAACGGCCGGCTGTCACGGACAGCTGAGACGAGCCACACCAAATTCGACGTCCATCTGGGGACTGGCCCCCCCCAAGAAGCAAGGATCGCGGGAGGCTGCAACCAAGAGCCGCACAACGGCCACACGTCCACACGGACACCAAATGAAGCATAAGTGCTAAGTGTCAGTGTTAGTGAAAGTGATGCCGAGCCCGGCCAGACGGCCGGATGAAAAAGGCCCTTTTCAGGGCCATAGTGTACCATCATCGCAGGGGGGGACCTACCACCGCTGCTCCCCTCCCCGCGCGCGCCCGCGATCAGCGATCTCCCCCCCGCGGGGGAGAGAGCGCTCCCACTCGCGCGCCGCGCATCGCACCGCAGAGACGCCGAACGTCCCCCGCGCCGAACCAGCCGCGCCGATCCGCGGCCACGCGAGTGCTACCACCTCTCGCGCCGGTTTGGGCGACGCCGATGCCCAGCGCGCCTCGCAGGCCGCGCCCGCCGCGAATCAGTCATATAAAACCAGTCCCGGAGCCATGCTCCCTCAAGAAACACCACCATCATCGCGATCAGTGCCAGTACCAGTGCCAGTGTCATCGATGAAACATACCAGTGCCATCCACGCCGCCCATTCTTCTTCAAGAGACGTGCTGATCTCTCCAGCGTCGCCGACTGAAGAAGCCTACACGGGGGCAGGCGTTTTGTCCTCGGGTGTTCGGCCCATGCCTGTGCCGGAAGCGGCGAGACTCTCCCAGTTGCCGAGCGGAGGTACGCGGGCTAGCCTTTCACCAAGATCAACCTTGGAATGTGATTCCTTGATCTTGGGGCAAGTGCTGGCCGCGGACCTTCTCTCACAAAGCATGAAGGAGAGGATCGCCGCTCTGGTCGGGGATGAAGCTGCCCGCCTCGAGGACCAGCCAACGCCCCCCATAGAGGAAAAGGAGCTGGCCAGAAGCATTAGTGAGCAGTTTGTTGTAACGAGACTGGCGCGACGACCTAGAAGTCCTGAAGAAACAGAGGAGGGACACAAGCGCCCCTGTCAGGAATCGTCGCCGCCATTACAACAGACTCCCATGCCACAACGAGACCCTCGGCTACGGCATAGGACAGCCGAAGCCACAACCACAGACCCGCTACCAGCAACATATGCCAACGTAGCCAAGATGCCAGCTCCACCTCCTGGAACGTCGGCACCGCAAACAACGAGAACAACGACATCAGGCGCCGCACAAACCCCTCTTGCGGCCAAAAATAATAGAATCCCTCCGCTCATAGTGGAACACTTGCCAAACTGGGTCCACCACTTCAAGCACCTTAAGGCAACGCTCAATTTCGCCCCGAACGCTCGCCCGTATGGGAAGGGGGTGAGATTTTCACCTAAGTCGGAGGAGGAATATCGCACCATCCAAAGATACCTCTCCGACTTAGAAAAGAAGGAAAAAATCAGCTGGTTCTCCTACCAGCTACCAGCTGAGAAAAGCCTTAAGGTGGCTATCCGCGGCATTCCAGCGGACACACCGATCGATAAGATCGCAGAAGCCCTGACGGAGCTTGGATACGAGAGCGAGTACATCAGGCAGATCAAAGCCCGTCAGGGCTGTCCAGGCTGCATATTCTACGCCCAGTTAAAGCGCACTCTAGGCATCACTCCCGGCATATACGAAGTCAGCGAGTTGCTGTGTATGCCGGGAATCAAAATTGAAGCATGGCGGGGGAAGAAAGGCCCGGCTCAATGCCACCGATGCTAAAGCTTCCGCCATTCATCGTACGGATGCCACAGAAAACTCGCGTGTGTCCGCTGCGGAGAGGAGCACACGGCCAGGGAATGCCCGAGGCCCAGGGAAGAACCACCCACGTGTGCAAACTGCGGGGACCAGCACACAGCCAAACAGCACCGCTTGCCCGGTGTACAAGAGAGAATCCCGTGCCAAGAAGGCCGGCACGGCGGTGCTCACAAGAAACAGAAGCGCTCCAAGAGACAACAGCCGTTCGGTCCCTGCAGCCGCCAGCCAGGGCAGTCTAATGGCCCCGGCAAACCCAGCCACTGAGCGGAGAACAACAGCACTAGCAGCCCCCAAGAAAAACTGCAAGAGGGGTAAGGGGAAAAAGGTGAAGAAAACCCCAGACGCTGGCACTGGCAACAAAACAGTGGCTAAACGCACGACGCATCCGCCTGCAGTCGCCGCCCCTCAACCACTAGAAGCACCCGCCACCACCTCTGCGATGCATAAATCGTTGATGAACAAGGGGAAGAAGGCGAAGCAACCCTCCCAGGATAATACCTCCATCAGCACAGGAAACCTCCTAAAAACCATGATAGGTATCCTGATGGAGGTACTCCTTGCGGTACAGTCCGGCGCAGACCCTCTGCCGGCCATCACCGCGGGTCTAGTGAGACTGACACAGACGAAATGTGTACAAGAATAGTCCACTGGAACGCGGATGGCGTCCGCCACAAAAAGGCACTCTTAAGACTGCTGCTAGTGGAGTACAACGTCGACGTTTGTCTCATATCTGAGACGCAACTTGGGGCCGTCGACAAACTCCACATCCCGGGATACTATGTATATCGTAAAGACGAGATCACGGACAGCCACAAGGCATATCGCGGGTTGGCTGTAATAGTCCGAAGAAACATTGCCCACCAGCCACTCCCCCAAGTGCAACTCAACACGCTGTATGCACTCGGGGTCGAGCTAAACGTCGCAGGAAGCCCCACCCGTGTGTTTGCAACGTACAAACCACCAGGAAGCAGGATCGTATCGGCTGATGTCGAGGCCATATTCGACTCGCCGATACCCACTATCATGGCAGGAGACCTTAACTGCAAGCACACGGCGTGGAATTCAAACCATGACACCGCTGAAGGTAAAAGACTTCTGAGGATAGTCGAGAGAATGGATATCACCGTCCAAGGACCTGAGGTTCCAACTCACTATCCTCACGACCCCACAAGGACCCCTGACGTCTTAGACATCGCACTCTTCAGGGGCCTAAACAGCCAACCGACGCAGGAAGTCCTCCTAGAGGACATCCGGTCCGACCACTTACCAGTATGCATGGATATCCCGGAAACCCCAACGATCCGAACGCCGTTGGCCCTCGCCGCCGGACCGACTGGGAGCAATTCGAGGACTCGATGCAAAGCAACACACCCACCGCCACCATTACAACTCCTACCGATGTGGAAGAACTCGCCAAGCGTCTGACAGTCTCTATGCAGAATGCCCTGGAAGACGCGGCCCAACCCGGCCCGGTCCGCAAGAACTTCAACGGGATCCCGGCCGCGACACGCAGAAAACTGGCGCAGAAACGCCGACTGCGTAGGGACTGGCAGTCGTCAAGATGCCCATTACTCAAGGCGAGAGTAAACAAACTGACGGCCGAAATTAAAAAAGACATCGAGTCCTACAGGAAAGAAAGTTGGGAGCGTATGATGGAAGACGCCGGCGACGACTGGAACAACATCCATCGCCTATGTCGCCGGCTGACCAAAGCCCAACCCCCAGTCCGTCCACTACTGGCGAGCGACGGGACTCCGAGGTACAGCGCAGCAGACCGCACAGAGATTCTTGCCGACCACCTCGAACGCCAGTTTCAGCCCAACCCCGCAGAGGACCACGAACATGCTGCTATGGTAGATAACTACATAACGAACTACCTATCATCCTCGTTACCACCCCACGAGGATCCCATAGTTTTCACGCCGGGACAAGTGCAGCGTGAAATCAGAAAGACGAAGCCTCGGAAAGCCCCAGGCAGCGACAATATCACGAATATGGCACTTCACCATCTGCCGCGACGCACCATAGCGACACTGACGCACCTCTTCAACGGTATTGTTCGCACAGGGCATTTCCCAGACCAATGGAAGATAGGCAAAGTCATCACGCTGCCTAAGCCTGGTAAGAACGTATTGAAGCCAGAGTCCTACCGGCCAATCACGTTACTGCAGCATGTCTCGAAAATATTCGAAAGGCTCATCCTCAGGCACATGATGCCACACATCACGCCGAGACCGGAGCAATTCGGGTTTAGGGCTGAACACTCGACAACACTGCAGCTGTCCAGGACGTTGCACGCCGTAACAGTCGCTCTAAACAAGAAGGAGACAGCGGCAGCGGTATTCCTGGACATAGAAAAGGCGTTCGACAGGGTATGGCACAACGGTCTGCTGTACAAGTTGGCCACCCAGACGGACATGCCAAGAAGGTTAATCCAAGTGGTGGCCTCCTTCCTGAAGAACAGGAGATTCATGGTGACGGTCGAGCAAACCTGTTCGGGAGAGCGTCCGATCCGCGCAGGTGTTCCACAAGGAAGCTGCCTATCGCCGGCACTGTACGCACAGTTCACCGATGACATACCTACCACCCACCAGACCACCTTGGCGCTGTATGCAGACGATGCGGCTTATATCGCGTCGTCCATCACCGCAACGCATGCAGCAACATAAATCCAAAGACTTCTGGACATACTACCCCAATGGCTGAAGAAATGGCGCTTATCGGTGAACGTGCGTAAAACGCAGGCGATCCTTTTCGGCCGGAAGCAACACCCTGAAAAATTACACCTGTGCGACTCCCCGATCGAGTGGTCCGCCACCATCACCTACCTCGGAGTGGTCATAGATCGAAGGCTCACTTTCGGCGCTCACACAAACGCGGTGTGCAATAAGGCGAGAGTTGCCAGGCACCTCCTGCGTCCAGCGCTCCAAGGAAACCTCCCTCTCGGGGTGAAGACTACAATCTTTAAAACCTACATTAGACCACGGCTGACCTATGCTGCGCCGGCGTGGTACCCCAATCTGAGTCGTACCAACAAAAGAAAACTACAAGCTCAACAAAACCTCTCACTTCGTACCATCACCGGCGCACATAGGTACGTGAGGAACACCACACTCGAGAGGGACCTCAAGATGCCCACCTTGGACGCGGTTATAGAGAACCTGGCCACCAAGATGTTCGCGCGCGTAGACGCTTCATCATGGGACCACCTCAAGGGTCTAGCCCCGCTACATGCGCGGCCGCCGGACTCAAGACCCTACGCGCGTGAGCTCATAGCCAGCACGCACGCACCAAACAATGAAGCTGACGCTTAGCACACAGAGCCGTTGGGCTCACTCGCACGCTGGCAGCTTGCTGGGCCTCCCCCTACGGGGTCTCACTCGGCAGGCGAAGACCGCGCAGAGCGAGCCCGCATCGGCATGCTAAGCGCCACCAAGCCGCTAGTCACACACATTAACACATAAAGAAGCCTTCGATCTGCAGCAGCAGCAACCTGAAGACCCGGACATCTTTATGCCCGGCGTGTGCTACCACCAGAGGGGAGTTAGGGCTCCGGACTGGTTTTCCCATCCTCCCGCAAGGGGATGCGCGATATCGCGAACGTCGAGCGGCACGCACTGCACTCCCAACCGATAAGAAGTAGGAACTCTTCAGAACGGAACCGGGAGCTTCAAAAAAAGTCTGCTATCGTTTCTCTCCAGCCTGAACCAGCACCCCTACAGTCCACGCTCACCGTACGGTCAAGCTGCACCGTACATATATATATATATATATGCATATATATATGTATATATATGTATATATATACATATATATATATGTGTATATATATATATATATATATATATATATAGCAGATGTATGGGGCAAGTTGGTAAAAACTGAAATAGTGAATTCAGATCATTATTTTTAACTGAAAACCGGTGGAAATTCTTTCCACAAAATTTCAATATTTTTCTCAAACATAAGGTCGTAATCCACGAAAATGGCAACGCGTAGGGTGTACCGTCAGCATCAAAATGTTGTGATATAAAAAAGTACTGAATTAAGAGCCTATTTTTTTCAATCGGTGGTAGAAATAAAGTATGATTGAAAATGTTGTCGTGCAGGAGAGCGAGTACCGGCGGCGGCTGCGCGAGCAGGAGAGCCTGCGCGAGCGCGTGCTGCGCGCCAAGGAGCTGCGCCGCCGGAGGAGCGCCGCCGCGCTGCAGCGCCAGCTGCACCACAGGTACGCCCGCCACACATCGCCACATCTCTCTCTCTCTCTCTCTCTCTCTCTCTCTCTCTCTCTCTCTCTCTCTCTCTCTCTCTCTCTCTCTCTCTCTCTCTCTCTCTCTCTCTCTCTTCTTCTCTCTCTCTCTCTCTCTTCTCTCTCTCTCTCTCTCTCTCTCTCTCTCTCTCTCTCTCTCTCCTCTCTCTCTCTCTCTCCCTCTCCGTGTGTGTGTGTGTGTGTGTGTGTCTTTCTCTCTAATGTTTATATTAATTTTCATCTATTAAAACCACTACCGACCCGTCCCGACTTTGCACTTTGAATGCAATGCTGACTAAATAGTGCCGCCGACCCCCCGGCCGGTGCCGCCGCAACCGCTATGTCCCTGTATTTTAAATCTGTAATATCTTCGAAAATATTCATTCAAATCACATGCTGTAAAGGGCCATATTGATCTATATTAAATGGACAGTGTATTTAAGGTATTTAATTGAATAAGGATTAATACTGTATTACTTAAAATCGCTTCGTAAATAAACCATTATTTCTTATAAAAAGTAAAGGATTAAAAAATGGTTGTTGTGGGTTATCCCTAAGAGATAGACATGTACCGTCGCTGACTTTATTGTAGACCTTTTTAAGGTGTATAATACTGAAGTACATTATTTTGATCTATCTCGTACGGCTCAGCCAACGTTTGCAATGTAAGCGCAAAAAAATGTGTTTATTTACGACATCTCATTAGAAACCTCTAAAGTTATCAGTGTTTCTCTACAATATTATGCATGTATTATACATGTAAACCTTCCTCTTGAATCACTCTATATATTAAAAAAAACCGCGTCAAAATCCGTTGCGTAATTTTAAATATTTAAGCATACATAGGGACAGACAGACGGGAATCGACTTTGTTTTATACTATGTAGTAGATTATAAATGGTACTGTGAAATTATTGAAGATAATATCAAGTCAATCCCATTATTGTACTATTTGAAAAAATATTATCTCACTAGGGAGCACGAGCGTCTCGAGAAAGAGAAGGAGCTGCCGAAAGTAGAAGAAGCCAAAGTGGACGCGGAGAAGCCTAGCACCACGAGTGTAGAGCAGGACAGCAAACCAGATACGACCAGGGCTTCGCCGGAGAAGGTAGTGAAAGTGGAGAAGTTCAGAGAGAGGTCGCCGGTGAAGAAGGAGACGGCAGAAGTTAATTCTACTAGTGGTGAGTTCAATGTGACAAGATTAGAATGTTCATTTAGATGTGAATGGAAATGATTTTGCTAGAGAGTACAGTATGGGGTTCTTCAAAAAGGGTATAAGATGTAAGGGTATAAGGACTAAGGTTTCTTCGGGGTTGGTAACGTGCATGTGACACCCCTAGTGTCGCAGGCGTCCATAGGCTACTGTGACCGTTTACCATCAGACACGCTGTATGCTTGTTTGCTATCTGTGTGGTACAAGAAATGTGTGACAAAGTCACAACTATCTGTCAATTTTCAATAACAATTAAGTACAATAAGTGCTTTATATTATTCCCAAATTCGTGTATAATATAGTATATATCATATATGTGTAAGTATATTTGTTATTCATATATATTTATTCGTTTATATATGTAATTTTAGTATGTATGTATATCAATAATTAGTAGTACCGCATTCGAGTATTCTGACACTTCCCTATGGTTGACTGGGAGAGAATGCTTTTAGCATTAAGTCCGCCATGTACATATATTTGTACTAATAAATAAATAAATAAATAAATTAATTAAACATGCATGACAAATCTATTGAAAAACTAGCAATTATATGTAAAATTATGGGAAATTGGACTTTGAATCTATAAAACGAGCTCTCCAATATTATTTTGTATTGATCTTTTCTAATGTACCACTAGGAAGTCAATCTGAGTCTGCACTCGAGTGCATGGAAGTATCGCTCGAAAAGAAGTGGGGGCGGTGATGTCAGGAAGTGAAAGTTAAATACATGAGTCATTCAATATCGGTCTAGTCAAACGAGAGATTAATTAATGAATATATTAATTTAATTAATATCAACAAAAAAATATAATACAACAACTAAATTGACATTGAATCGAAGCATTTGGCGTTCCATTGTTTCTGCCTACCCTAATGGGAGACAGGCGTGACAGATATGTATGTATGTATGTAAATTGACATTAATGCGTGTATATTAGCTACATATCAATACAATTTTGCTACGTCCAAAACAGAGTTACTTACTCATCATAAGAACATTGTAACAACTTTATATTATGTACATGAATGCATTATAATATTTTTTTTTTAAATACTGATTGGTTATTTAAAAAGTAGATAGTGAATTTAAACGTTAATAATAGAATGTTGCATATTAATCTAACATTGAAAATTTTTACCCTTTTTTTTTTATTCAACTTAGAATGACCAACAAGCTGACGGGCCACCTGATGGAAAGTGGTAACCGTCGCCTATAGACATGAGCAGTACCACGGACATAACAGAGTACACTGTTTCGCCCATGATACCCCCCATGCGTTGCCATTCCTGAGGACACAGGTGTTATTCCTCTGTACCCAGTAAATTCACGGTGAATTAACTTTTTTCTGGTAGCACTGAGTATGAGCGAAGTATGGGACTGTAGTATTGGAATGTACGTTTGTTTGCGTACTGCAGAGTCGCTGACGCCGCCCGCGAGGCCGCGCGCCGCCAGCCACGACCGCGCCCTCACACCGCCGCTGCCCGCCACCACCACGCCCACCACCGCCACCACTACCACCGCCACCAACGCTACCACCGCCGCCACCACCGCCCGCCACGACTCGGACGACGATCTCGACCTCATACTCGGCGACATCGACGGCATCCTCTCCGACGACGACGACACCGGCCGCTTCAAGCACATCGCCCAGTCAGTATCCGTTAGCTGGTCCTCTGGTACACGCCTCCCCCGTCCCACAGACAAATTGGCAACCGCAATTAAGTTGTGGTGATGTTTTAAGACGGACATTGCTGTCCATCTCTCGACTATAAGCTCTCTTAGACATCTCTTACCACGCCCACGAAGGAATTAAGGAAAGAAAGAAGTGGCCTACTAGACCTACACAGCTATTAATATGGGATAACAACATTTGTTACCCCATAACTCCATGAAAAAACTAAGTTAACAACCTTTTTTTTAAGTTAGTTAAAAATTTCCTTTGCAATAACATGATCCAACAAAATTTGAGGCCATATCTCTCTCCTATCCAGATTAAGATTGTTCTCAGTTATACCATAGAAGAAATATCTGTCACTTTGTTCTATATTTGTTAAATATCGTTCTTCGTGATGTATATATTACAGTCAAAACCACTTTTGACCAACCTGGGCCTCTAGACAAGTGGCAAACGAATTCGTTGATGGAATCGACATCGCTAGCGAGTCCGTGAGACAGAATGAGATAGCAACGCCGAGTGAGTCATTCCAACTCATGGACTCACTAGCGATTGCGATTCCATCAACGAATTCGCTTGTCACTCGTCTAGAGGCCCTGTTCAGTCAAAAGTACTTCTGACTGATTAAGAATTTTGACTGCAACATATATACATATATATGTATATATTTTTTCTAATAATAATAACAAAAAACTCTCTATTGCGCACAATAGAGATGTATACAAGGAGTATTTATACAGAATGTGCATATACAAAGGGCGGCCTTATCGCTACAAGCAATCTCTAACAGACAACCTGGCATAGTTTTTTTTTATACAACTTAGAATGGCAAACAAGCTGACGGCCCACCTGATGGAAAGTGGTAACCGTCGCCTGTAGACATGAGCAGTACCATGGATATAACAGTAGATAAGTAGAGCGAAGGTAATTGTAATGTGTCTGTATGTGTGATGCAGATCTCCCGCGCCGTCCCCGCCTAAAGACCTCCGGTCGCGGCTGCCAGCACGCGGCCGCCAGCAGCCCCCAGCTCGGCAGAAGATCGTCTTCACCAGCCGGACAGGTACTGTGTCTCTCACTGTATTTCCATCTATATCCTCTTGAATTGTTCCACGCACAACCATGCTTTGGAATCTTTCTCTTAGTCCTTTTGAAGAAAGGAGGGTAAAGAGATTTCTTCAGGGTCGGCAACGCGCGCGTAACACCTCTGGTATTGCAGGCGTTCATAGGCTACGGTAACTGCTTACTATCAGGTGGGACGTATGGTTGTTTGCCGTCTTAGTAGTATAAATAAAATCAACTTCCAACAGCAGTACTGTCGAAACTATACGATATCATAATCTTCAAGAAAGGGAGGAAGGGATTGTTAGTAATAGGGAGATTAGTCCCCATTACTATCAGGTCTACCTCTACGTGGTTCCCCCTGGAAACCATTGTGACTAATTTATCGTTAAATTTGTCATGATAGGCTAACTGACCTGCATTTTCATCCTCACCAATCATCCCTCACTGGTGCCATAAAAAGTTGAAATTTTCGACTAATACGTATTAATTTTTTTTTTTTTATTATATTAGCCGGTAACAATCCACTGTTGAGCATAGGTCACCCTTTTAAGGGAAGTTTTTTTTTTATACAACTTAGAATGGCAAACAAGCTGACGGCCCATCCGATGGAAAGTGGTAACCGTCGCTTATAGACATGAGCAGTACCATGGACATAACAGAGTATACTGTTTCGCCCATGATACCCCCCACGCGTTGCCATTCCTGAGGACTCAGATGTTATTCCTCTGTGCCCTGTAAATTCACACCATATCCCATCCTTCAAACCAAAACACAGCCATGCAAACACAACTGCTTCAATAGTTGCCACGCAACCGCAGTTACGATTTAGTGATATTTTAAGAAGGACACTGCTATCATCCTTCATACCATCCCTCGACTATACATTCCCTTATTCGCATCTTACGACACCCACATGAAAGGAAGTGGTGGCACATTCTATGACAATACTAGAAGTGACAAATAGATAATTTATTTTTGAAAATTGCACCTCAAAAACGTAACATACAAAACCAAAAATGAACCTTCACATGTAGGATTTGAGAACTATTATTGAATGAAACATGTGAATAATTACAAAGGTTCAAATAAAAATGTCCATTACAGAAAAGTCACCCCCGAGCCGAGCTGCAGCCAGCAGCTCCACGGCGGAGGATACGGAGAACGTTCAGAAAACTGCCAATAAGGTATTTAAAACTATATTTTCATTTATAAGCAACCACGGCATGCTTTGTGTTTGATAAACATTAAAATGGAATTAAATTATTAAATGTCATTAAATACATGTGTAAAGACATAGTTGTGTAAACAAATTTGGTGTGCTGTCACTATACTTCACACGGAGCTCTGACTGTGTGACACTATTTTTTTTAAATCATTATTTATATGCACAAAATCAATCTCAAAATCCGAGTAAAGTCGCGACGTAGCGCCAGTACTAATATTTATTCTATTATCCATTCAGACAAAGCAGAAGGTGGAAACAAACACAACGAAGATTAGGCAAAGAATTACATTTGATAAAAAGGAGGTAAGTAATATATTTAATTCATTTGAACTTGTTGCATTTTCATGTGGCAACAATCGTCTTGATCTCGACCACTGATGGGGGTTCTTCAAAAAGGACGTATTGAGATTCTATTTTAAGATATTTAATCGTGGCAAAAGGATTTTTTTTTATACAACTTAGAATGGCAAACAAGCTGACGGCCCACCTGATGGAAAGTGGTAACCGTCGCCTATAGACATGAGCAGTACCGTGGACATAACAGAGTATACTGTTTCGCCCGTGATACCCCCCATGCGTTGCCATTCCTGAGGACTCAGGTGATATTCCTCTGTACCCAGTAAATTCACGCCATATCCCACCCTTCAAATCGAAAGACAGCCATGCAAACACAACTGCTTCACGGTACCAAAGTCTGGTAAAATGGTATAAAAATAATTGGTTAGTATTATTTACAAACTAAATTACCGAATCAATTCAGATAAAACTTGTATGTAACCAATCTGAAAGTACGTGTATAAAAAAAGAATTTTTCGAATCGCTTTATAAATATGGCGGTTATGACGTAACAGATAAAAAAAAATACAGTCAATTGAAAGACCTTTTTTATTAAAGACATTTGAAAACTTAAAGAATGTTACGTTGGTTTCGGGCTTGTATGTACGAAATAAGTTATTAAATTGAACGTAGCAACAGGTGTTTGTAGGGACACAGCCTTTTGTCACTAATTTCCTTCTGTCTACCCCATATTCTGACAAATCTGTGATTTTAGAATCATGATTAGAGGAATTTATCAAAGACTTCGAATAATATGCTATAATTTCAGTGCCTAATGCTATCCTTCAAACCGAAGCATAGCTTCCAAAATACATGGGATAGAGAAAAACACAAACTTTCGTCTATTTCTGTCTATAATCATTGCCATATTTAAAATTACTTTTGAGGGGGGTGAGGGGTGGACCCTTAAAACAGGTACGTATCAAATCCTCTGTTTGTACTACGTGTTTTATACCATAGATTTTATAACAGTTCAATTGGCAACAATGTAGCATGTAACTATACATAGTTGAAGAAGACTGGCGTCTAAACTGGACACCAAGCTACCTGTGTCTTAGAACACCAGGCCATTGTAATATATATACAGGGCCGTAGCTAGACCCAAGTTTAAGGTAGGGCATAAAATCTTTTTGGTAGGGCATAAGCCATAATTAAGTGACTTCGAAAAAGCCAGTCTGTTTAATTTTCTTGGAGCTTTTCATTTTAAAGTAGGGCATTGCCCCTCAAGCTCCTCCCCCTCCCCCCTTCTCTCTAACTACGGCCATATATATATGGAACCGAGTATCCTTTTAAGGGATAATGTAAATTTGGCGTTATACACAATATAGCATTTAATAATATAGTGTTAGTGAATATTCTATGATTCTCAGACATATCTGCGAAGCTTTACACGGACTACCCCCCCCCCCCCCCCCCCCCCCCCCCCCAACACGCCAGTGCTGCCTGTTATATTGTACCTAGTATTAACATCAGTATTTTTTAACCACAAACAGCCCGCGAAAGAGGACAAGAAATCCCAACCACAACAATCCTTCCCCAACCGACGGGTGATACTCCAAACGAAAACGCAAACCAAAGAGAAATCAGTATTCTCCCGTATAGAGAGCAAAAACGATCCCAGCAAGCCCAACCCTGGGATATTCAGTAGGGCGGTCCGAACCGCCATAGGCTCGGAGAAGCCCCGTATTGTGATAAAGAAACAGGAAGAGCCACAAATTGAGTACAACTCGGACTCGGATGTGGACGAGGAGAGGTATCTGAGTGATGGGACCGTTGCCATGGTAACGAACTTGCCCGACGGCATCACGGATACACGGCTGAAGACGCTCGCGGGAAGCGACGTGCAGGTAATCATGACATTATAGGGTTAAGTCGATTGTACAGTTTGATGCTTCGTATAGTGTGATGTAAATTGACTAGTTTATGTTCTGATACTAGGTTTTTGCCCGCCACTTCGTCTGTACAGATTTCAGCAGTAGAAAACCCATTTAAATATACCACATTAATAGATAGGATAGGTTTTCTCAAAAGACTGCGGTATGGGGTTCTTCAAAAAGATTATGTTAAGGTTTCTTCAGGGTCGGCAACGCGCACGTGACACCCCTAGTGTTGCAGGCGTCCATAGGCTACAGTGACCGTTTACCATCAGACGGGCTGTATGATTGTTTGCCACTTTTGTAGTATAAAAAATAACGTATCAGAGTCCACCAAATTTCAAGTTAAACCTTCAGGGAGATAATTATAAAAATTGCATCCAATTTTGTGCGGTAGTCTGCGTGATCCTGGACTAAACATATAGACAGAAAGAAAGACAAGATTTCTAAAAATTATTGTTTGGACCTCTATACGTCTAAGTTAATTTTAAATTTTCGCGGTGTTTACACATATTTTAAATACAAAATCGCTTTTATATTGACTTAAGTACCGTTTGTGTATATAAAAATATTTTTTAAAAATCTAAGCGTCTAAGGTCCTTTTTATTTTTTTTTCTAAAATATTTTCAATATACAGACATCATCCAGTTACAATGTTATATAATTAATTTTATCAGGACAGTACTTCAGTAATGTGTCAATTCAATCAATCCGTCAATCCGTCAGTCGTACTCACTCATATTCATTCGTTCATACACATTCACTTCACGTTCCGTTACAGTATTGATCAAATTATTGATTTTTTTTTATACCACTGAGATGGCAAAAAAGCATATGGCCCGCCTGATGGTAAGCGGTTACCGTAGCCGTATTTTATTTTTCACGTTCAAGTAAAAAGTAAATAGAGAAACGAATAGATACGGACAAGGACTTTGTTATATATCATTTAAAAATTTGTTATAATTGTAGAGTCCAGGCTAAGGTGATACGGACACAATGAAGCGATTCGATTGCCACGTTGTGAAAATACCTTTCCATGGCTATAAAAGAAAGGACGAGGTAGGCCTTGGGTGTTAAATGTCCAGAATAAAGCAACTTGACTTAATCAATAGTGGTACATCATCATACCAGCCTTTAACAGTCCACTGCTGAACATAAGCCTGCCGCATAATTGGCGTTTTGTCAGTAGTTGCCACGCTTGACAGATGGGTTGGCAACTGCGGTTAGGATTTGGTGATACTTTGAAAGGAACGCTGCTGCCCATTTCTTAGTAACTAAGTTCCCTTAGTCGCCTCTTACGACACCCACGGGAAAGAAAGAGATGGTGATACATATTGTCGAAAAAGAAATGGTGCCGTGTGATTACAAAAGCCTTCGTGTAACAGAAAGAGGTGAGGGTAAAAAGTAGAAATATAATATTTTATCTCACACAACTGTTAAATTTATATTAGAATTAGAATGTAGTGTAGGTTTAAAATAAACTTTGCAAATTATTAAATATGATGTGCATTTGTTTGTTTATTTGTTACCTCTTGACGCCTGAACGGCTCAACCAATTTAGTATGGGAACGCATATAGGCAACTTTTTTATCACCATCGACCAATGTTAGTGACATGGACGAAGACGCAGGTAAAAACTAGTAGTACTAGTCTCTATACCTAAAATTATGAAAATTTTACGTAACCTTTTTTATTTTATTTTATTTTTTTATCTCTTTTTTCAATCGATCGAAAATTTTAAAACACTTTTGAAGCATCAAACATAGTTAAGATATTTTTTTCAGTATTAAATACCAACACCTTTCTGTGATATAAAATCTGTGATATTTATATATTTATATAAATATATATATATATATATATATATATATATATATATATATATATATATATATATATATATATATATATATATATATATATATGCTAATGTATATAGTTTATAACACATTCACTGTCATTTTATTTAAATGTGTCTCAAATATGTTGTTGCATTGACATTTTCTCAAATATATTGTCCAATCGGTATACGATACAATTTCGTTCATCGTGTAACATCGATTGGTATAGAATAATACTTGGTCAAATGACTCTAAATATTAACAAAACGGATAGACTTGGGGAAAACTGAGGAGAAGAACTGATCCCAAATAAATTTATAAATACACACACTTGGGGACAGACGTGACAGATATGTATGTGTGTTTACATTTGAAAAATACTCGTGATTTGAGACCATTTACAATAGAAGTTTTAAATAATCGACATTGATTAAGCTCATTTTTTTATAATCCAAAAATAATAAAATTTAAAGTTACAAAAACTATTATAGTAATGAATATTCAAAGTAAAATACTCTTCTGAGTATACTAAACTCATTTTTTAATAATAAAATGAAGTACTAACCCCGCATGCGCTCTCAGTTTGCACTGGCAGGGTACCAGTGATGAAGTCAGCTCAGTTGGCCCACCGTGACCCAGAAATTTATTACTATAGTTTTAAATAGGAAGGCATATATTTATTTAATAAATAAATTGATATCAATGGCAATGAGTGTGTTGTAAATTATATTATATGTGATGGCGGAAAATATAGAAAATATTCTTATGATACATTTGATACGATAACTTTATATAAAAAACAGTATCAAAATTTAAACATCAAAACTGTACAAAACTGTTAAACGTCATTGAAGTTATCTAATAATAACGACATATCATTTTGGCCATCAGTTCTACCTAGAATACAAATGTACAATTTATACAACATAACAATTGTATATGTACAAAATAATGGCTGATTGTGATGCCAGTTTTAATTATTTGTGTTATGATTGTAATTGCTATTTATTGTGTACAATTATTTCCATGACGTGTTATTTTTAGTGATTCAATCACATTTTTGTTTCAACTATTTCTTGACGCAGCATTCTTCAATGAAATGTGTCACCTTTCTTGTACTTTTGTCGTTTATTACTCATAAGTTGATCTTTGGAAAGCATGTTTCTGTTATCTTTTAAAATGAGAACCTGCCATTATGCGAAGAACCTATTCAAAATGAAATTTCCTGAAGTAGAATTTTGTTTAAATACTTGCAGGATTTGGGTTCAACGGTATATTGTTTATGAAATATACAAAATTTATTTTCTATTGAAATATGGTGTATAAAGAGATTCACAATGTATCAACAAGATATAATTTTTACACACATTTTTCACAAAATGTTATGTACTTATAAATCATGTTCTTGTATTGAACAATTACATATGCAAACATTTTTTTTAATACAATTCTACATTTTTTATTTACATTTAAAATAATAATCTCAATTTTACAATTTCATAGTGACTTCGAAGTGCCTGTTTCGTATATTTACGGAACTGTATTTATGTAAGCTAAGCATATATTTCACGCATGGTATTTATAATTATGTATTTAATATGAAACCATGCAATTTCAATGTGATATCAAAACTAGTCAAAATTATGTAACGTTATACAAAAGCAATGTAGTTATTACATATGTATTTATGTACATAGTCTCATGTTGAGATTGTATGTTGAATAGAAACTGTTATGTGGGTGACTTTAGCGTATAATACAATTTTTAGTGCTTTGTCACGACTTGGATAAAAAAAAAGAAGAGTAACCATACTCTGCTACCAAAAAAAAGTTGAAGGAACATTGTGAAATGTGCACAATGCATCCTTTTTTATTTCTCATTTATGTTCTTTTTTTTTTTTTTTCTTTTACTTATCAAATTCTATTGTCTTTGTTACAAGATAAAAAAATATCTTCAAATAAATCACTACTTGTCCATTTAATTACTAGTTTTTCAAGCCACAATATCGATATATAGACACTAGTCGCGAAAGAATCAAACTGATATGTAGTGTCTTAAGATTAAATATGAATTATCAAAAAAAAATTATTATAATCAGTTAACTTGAAAGTTATTTCGAAAGCCGATAAGCCAATGTCTCTATTTCTCTTTTACAAAACACATCTTCTCTGACTTATGACTGAATATGAAAATATACCCACAAAATAATTTCGTTTATTTTTTAATATTTAAATTACATTAAGTAGATAAGTTATATTATTATGTTTGTATTGTTTAATATTAAGTAGTCCATAAGTGAAAATAAGTAATAAGGAATGAAACCCCCGGATTAATGTTCCAGAGCTTAAATTTGGACAAAGAGGAACGCAGCGCGAAAATAACGTTTAAATCATCCACAGCAGCTGAAGGATTCAAGAAGAAATTCAACAATAAAATGGTCTCCAAAAGTAAATTGACCGTTACAATACATTAATAATGAATACCTTAATAAATTGTATCTCTAGTTTTAACATTTTCTCAAATTGTAATATTTTTCTCAAATTGTAATATTTTGTTTGTTATTTACCGCAATTATAACCTTTGCCTAGACTGTATTACATACGGATTAAAATATTTACCTTTATCGACTGTTGTTTGTAATATTAGTGTTGTAACATGAAACAGTGTAATATCTTCTCTTAATGTAATATTACTGTAAACAATTACAATATAATAATCTGCTAGAAAAAATAATTGCTGAAAAATATATTAAAATTAATAATCTATCGGATTTTATATTGTGTTATTGCTCTTTAGAAATAAATCATGCAATATGACATCACTACAATGGTAGCAGAGTATTTATAAACTTACGCTTTACAAAATTTTTTGACGTTTATCATAAAAGAGTAGTATTCTTATTATTTTAAATATTGGAATTATTATAAAACGTATCCAGTGATACTATAACTCACGGAATAAAGCAATATTCTGTAAAAAGTTTATCCGAACACGTTAGTATTAGCGATGTTGTAATGTAATAGTACAGTTACATCGCTGATTGTAATAGTTCAATTAACGTAACATTCAAAACTATTGAATGTTGACATCTGTTATGTGGAAGACTTACCAATATTATTATAAAATACGAACTGCTGAAAGAAGGAGGGCTATGTTTTTCTTACTGTAATATTAGTGACTACTAATCTAACCCCCTTATTCATAAAAACTATAATCTCCTACAAACCTACTTTATTACACTGTTTTGTCACTTTCATTGAAGCTAAGAAAGAAAGAGACAAAACAGTTCAATAGCTAAAATAGGTTTATGAGAGGTTTGACGTTTTTATGAATAAGGGGGTCTTTTGTCATATTATTAACAAATAATCTATTCAGTACTTAGTTATAAGTACGCTACAAGTTTTATTATCTATAAATATGATTAATAAATTGTCATATGTTTTGAAACGGTAAAAAGAGAATTATATTATGTGTAAAATAATAGATGAATATGGGGAGTAAAGATGGTACCAATTATTATTTATTCTTTATAACATTATATTACAGTTCTGTTATCGCATGATTTATATTGTAACAATGTATTAATGATAACAAATAATTAATATTACATTTCTTAAAATGTTACATGTAATATTGAATGATTTTTATTATGACAATGGAGTCGATTCTAAAGTCTAAATTTGCCTCTGAATCAAAAATTTTAACTGATCGTTCACTAAAAGTTTTGTATTATGGGTCATAGTAAACTAAATTCAAAATAGTTGTAACTTAAATATATTGATTAAATTGACACTTGAGAATTGACAACATTAACATAAATTCCAAAAAAAGAACGTAATCTGTGTATTATTTATTATTTGTGTAAAATTTATTTCAAATATTTAGTAATATATACTATATAATACAATAATATTAAGTGTACAAAATATGATAGACGTCTGAAAACTACAAAATTTTCAATAACCATTTGTTGGTAAAGCGTATTTATTTAGAATCTGCACTTAACGTGTTTACAGCGAATAGAGACCACGAGGAAATGGTCAAGCCACAAAAGTCCGTCTCTTAAATTGATTTAGATAGCTTATGGCCTTATAGCCTTATTATTTTATATTGACATGCATGTTAGTTTGTACCCGTTTTATTGTAAATCTAATATGTATATGAGGTTTGACTTTTTGTTTGTAGTATTAAAATAGCTTTTAAATACTTAACGGATTTTAAACATATTTTCATGGATAGAAAGATGCATTATCAACGAATGAAGTGGGTTGTATTTTATTTTAAAAAATCGTGCGATGCTAGAGCGTGTTGTTAGTAATCAAGTGAGGAAATGTTAATTTGTCTTTATATATCTGAGCTTATACTTGCTATTTGATCTTCTATCGTATATGTCGTCGGAGACCAGATACGTAGTGAACAATTCTTTCGATAGACGCCTTTCTCATGCATAATACTGCATAACGAGTAAGCACCATGAATGCACAGTGACCAAACGGCAACGTCCAGCGTCCCATTCTTACACGTCTGGTAACGAACACGTGTCTATCGAATAGATTTAAAGTGATATATCTGTACCTTTGTGATATTCTGTCTACCCCTCTGTAACGGACTGGAAACGTGTTTAAAGCATCAAGTTACTTTATTGTTTGGAATTTCATAATTTGTAACAACAAAACATGTTGCTTATTATGAATTTAATAAATCTATTATCAATTATGACAATGAAAGAGAGAAAGAGCATAGTAACATGTGTGTTAGAGGGAGATAGGTATAGGATACCTTTCTTGTGTCGTTATGGGCCACAATCGGTGTGACTTTATTTCTGATTATTATCAGCTTTTGAAGTTTTTGATACTAAGTAGCCGTTTATTACCATATTTAAGTACGTAGATTAACAGTCATTTGTTTTTTAACTTGTTCTAAATGCATCGCTGATGTATTTTGATATATCACGAGGTGGAAGCCGAATTCGTTGGCGTCGTTTTCAGGGAGTGTTCTACTAGCAAAATTGTACAGTTTACTCAAAGTGTAATACTATGGGTCAAAGAGTGACAAAAAATGTCGTGACTTTTATTATAATATAGTGCGTATGTTAGTATGAGCGTCACATTTTTTTTTTTTATATTTTTTTACTCAAACCTTTGGGAAGAAATATTCAGTTTTGCCTGTAAACACTTCTATTAACAGGATGATAATATCAGCCTGTATATATAAAGAACCTATGACCAATATGCAATTTTATTATGTTCCTTTATACGCGAGAAGTGGAATTGAGGATAATTTTTTTTTTTTTTTGCTATTGTTAAAATATGATTATATTATATAGTTTTGCTAAGGTTTATCGTTAGTTTAATTATCTGGTTCACGTACCTATCTATGTAACAGGTAATTTATAATATTGTAATAAACATTTGAAGTCAGCGTTTCCTAAAATTTAAAGGGAATAGTTTATTTTTCTTAGACAATTAGACAATAAATAAAAGATATTGAAACATGGCCGTAGGTAGACGGGGGTATTGAGAGGCCAATGCCCTAACTTAAAATGAAACGCCCCAAGAAAATTAAATTGACTTTTTTTTGAAGTCGCTTAATTATGACTTGTGCCCTACGAAAAAGTTCTTTAGTTCTTTTGCCCTACCCTAAACTTGAGTCTAGCTACGGCCCTGTATTGAAAGTACCTCACTGGTAAATATTGTACAAGTTATCTTCATTTTTTAAATAAATCGCCTCTCAAATACTCGAAAGTATGCCGCTACGATTGCTTTGGTTGGATATTTTAACATATGGTCACACTGTTTTGTGAATATTTTGGGAATCGCTGACATTGTTCGATGAACCGGATTTATTTTATTAATTTTAGTTTGACATTTAAATCTTTATATATCTTGAATATTAGTTACAGAGCATTTATTATATGAAAGACTTATATAGAACGCAGACAGAACAAAACGAATTTACTATAAAAAAAAATATATCAGATGGAATATGGATGGAATTCTATCAGCTTCTATGGTTACCCATTACATGTTTCGTGAATAATGTGGAGTGGTTTTGGGGGAACCCATATCGCTCCTATGCACAATTAAATGGTGGCATTTAATATAAATGCTTATAGACATGTTACTTGCAGAAGCAATAAACTAAAATATAATAAAGACCTACTTTAACAATTAAAGTATTGTGTCCCTTTCTATTGTGCAAAAATCACAATTGGAGGAAAAGAGACAGAATACTATAATAGTAAAATAGGTTTATAGTGTTTTTTTTTTTTTTATAAATACGATGATTTAAAATGTTAATTTTAACAACAGAACAAACCTTAGTGTTAGAAAACGTGGAGTTTTTATTGTCTTCAACAAATTCGTTTGTAATTTTATTTTTTAAGATGTTTACCATTACGTATCACGTAAGTTACGTGTATACTCTTCTCCTACAGATGCGAGTTTAAATAGATGACGCAAGTGGATTTTGCTGGATTTTATTTTAATTAAATTAAATGTACAGCTTACTTGAACTTCACTTTTTGTCTAATGATTAGCGGGTAGAGAAAAAGAGAATGCCTTAATAAGTTCGCCATTTGTACAAATTTTATTGTGCAATAAATGGTAAGTAAATAAATAAACCTCGAATATATTTGACTCTGATTTACTACGTACATTCTAAGTCTTCAGAATGTTATTTTATGTTTATTTGACAATATTTATTGTGTAACTATTTATTAAAACTGAATTATATGATTAATGAGTTAAATGTAACTTGAAATGAATGACAGAGATGGTGTTTCTCATAGAGTTTGGTCTGAATCTAAATTTGCTATTAATAAATAGCTATTTTAATGTATATCAATATTGATCGACTTAGTAAATTTTGTTTAGAACCTTCACCGGATTTCTTTTCTCTATTTGGGATAAAAACTATCCTATCTCACAAGTTGAAGAAAGGTATAGGCTTTATAAAGAATAATTAAGTTTTTTTTTATGTATATACTAAATTATTTACTAACGAATTGTGAATTTAACATGATCAAAATAGAAACTACTCACATATGAATAAAACAGTTGAACTGTATTTGACGAAGCGTTTGAAAACAAATCCTTCATCTGTAAATGATTGTAGAGGGAATAGCAAAGAATACTTCGGATCCTTGCGATTTTGAGGTTAAATCTAATATTCGAACTTGCCTTCGTAATAATTGTGCAGACTTGCCGAAGGAATGTTTCACTTTTTTTTTATATATATATATATTGAGGTTATCGAGCTGGGCCCATAACCGTTGTGAAGTGTAGAAAGAATAATATGTTATTCAGATTTTAACAAGAGGTTCAATCTTATACATTTGGAGCTGTTTGAAACTTTAAATAGAAAGAAATAGGCATCTCCAGTTCAGTTGTCAATTAGACCAGATTAGACACTTGCGTCGTCTATTATTATTATGTCTAAGTTTTGGGTGTATCTAGACTTAGATAACAATATATGTTCTGTTTTGTATTTCAAAGGAGATCTCCAATAAATTGATATGAAAAATTGTGCCTGAATTATGTCATTTTGACCCTGTAAATATGTAATTTTATATTTATAAGTTAAATTATTTGACGCGCCACCATTATCTGTGGTTGTATAGTTCAGGGACGAATTAAGAATGGACATTTTTAAATAAAATTTTATGTTGCTTTCTCTCAATGTGTATGCCTTGTTTTTTTACATATGAAAATGGTATACAATCACAGATAATACAATGAATTATTTTGTGTGATATTAACAAGCGTGCGTAAGATATATAATTTTTATATCTTACGCATATTAATGAATCGAAAGACTGATCAAATAAAACATTAAAATATATTTCATTACGTATTTTATTTCACTGGTCCTTTGTCCTTATACACGTAAGTACATACATCTAAATAAATTCGTATTAACAGTATAAAGTCATGGAAAAATAAAAAACATTAAATTAATAATATTAAAAAACAATGAAATATTTAATCAAAATCATATGTCAAATATATTGCTGTGTGATGCAATTAAAAAAATTAAAGCGGGCAATTTGACTTTTACATTTGCAATTAATGAATTTTCAATATTATATAAAAATCTTTTTTTAAAGAGACCTAAAAATATACTGGCTTGTTACATTCACAAAGACAAACATTTAAATACAATATATCTAATAAAACAACCATATTCACAATGTACAATGACTGAATTTAATCTTAAATTTATTATTAAAAAATAACCAATGACATCGAATTCCTACAAAACAGCGACGTCACCTGTATATTACACTGTAAAGATGTACAATATTAAAAAAAAAAATTGGCGGTAAATTTGCGAATCTATACTTTAACGCAATATAGTTTTAGTGCAAATGAAATAGGAAGCCATTTTATCTTATTGTTTCAATCATGCCATCTCTTTTTATTCTTTTTTGTCAATCTGATGAAATAAATGTCTGTATGGTGACAAGCTGTTGGGAGTAAAGGAGAGAGTGTCATTGAATTTTATGTCATGTTATACTAGATAACATCGCAATACTGCCGTAATTGTGTTTGACATTGGTTAAAAAGATTTTCGTTGAATGTACAACACGGTGATCGAAAAAGGCGGGAAACGTTAAATATGGCAATTATTTGAAGGACCAAACTAAAATGAAAATTCTTGACACCGGCAGGTATGGTTGTAAAAATAAAGACTGATTGTCATTGAAGAAAAGAAAAAATGCCTGCATCCATGATTCGGATTTTTTTTATTCTAATCTTGCTTAAAAAAAATTGTTTGCAAATAATAGACATAGATAGCTCAGGATTGTCCGATATGACAGTTTTAGGAAAGCCTACAGTCAGCAATAAACGATTGAAAAGGTACACGAGTTAATACTGTTTCACTTGAAGCTTAATACGGACTGCCTTAGTCGAGTATTGTGTAAAAATATTTGGAACTATAAATAGACTAATAATTTGTAGACACGTATAGTTGCTATTGCCACAGTATTAAATTATCTGTGCTAATACTAACCAGTGAAGTACCATCTTTCTAAACTTGCGTCTATTTACAATATTTTAATTCGATAATTTCGTAAAACTATTGTTTTATAGACCATTCTAAACTTATTTTAACTTTATATAAAATTACATTCATACTGGTCCATAGAATAAAGATTTCGATGTAATATTAAATTGAAATTTTTATTTTAAAGATACGTTAAAAGAAATACGTGCCACAGAATCGAGCCCACTGTCTGATTAATAATAAACAAGTCAACAATACCGACCCTGGGGTTGGGCGGAAGGAGCGGTCGCTCTAGCCGCCAGATGGCGAGGGGCGCCAAAAAGTTAAATACGAGAAAAAATACCTCTATTTATAAACTACTTCATTTAAATTTAATAAGTGTTGATAAAAATTGATTTAAGAAAATTTAGGAATTATTTATTTAACATAAAAACGTAATAGAATTAACGTGAAGCGAAATCGTCGACCAAAGGGCGCTAAAAACAATCTCGTTCTAATCTAGCTAGGGCTATGTACGGCATTGGTCACAATTCAAATTATGTATAATTTTGTTATATACTTAAATGACAGGTTTAGTTTAATATACATTTATTTATTTATTAAATATAGAAGATAAATTTACAACAAAAAAATAAATTAATTAAAAAAAAGAATGCATTAGTAATGCAGCTACATGACCTAGGTATATTGGTACCTGGACTTACTAACAATAATTTATTTAAAGTCGACAAAACAAGCTCTCGTACAAATATATTCATCTCAGGAATGTACATGTAAATAAAAATTATAATAGATGGCACTGTGGTCGTTTTGCAACGCGTTATAATTTGTCGTTACATAAATCTGAAATCAAATGCTTAATGTTGTTAAACATTACGCAAAATTGCCCACATTAACTTTTAACATCACAGAATATACAAATTTTTTTAAAGCCGCTCCGTTTCATATGCCGGATTACGGCTAATTCATAATTTAAATTAAATAACTATATGTAAATATAAATGGAATTATATGTAATCTAATTAACTTAATTAGAATTGATTTATTTGTTAATGTAAGGTACATTTTATATGTAGAATATTTTTGTAGGTACATTTTTACATTAGGAAACTTTAAATTATATAAATAGAGCATCGAGCCTCAAAAACGGATCAACTTTTTGTCCGCTAATTGTCAAATTAGCGGACAAAAACTTATGCACATAATGTATCTTGACGTATCTATATATAATTATTTAATAAATAAAATGAATTTTAATGCATTAAAAAGATGCAAAAATTATAAAACAAAATAAATATACAAGTTATAAAGGAGTCACTCATGACTATTTATCACGCAAAATTGTGTATGAAAAAGTTGAGCCGGTTTTCTCGAAGCATTTGTATGGAGACGAAGAAAATTTGTACAAACTTATTCTGGCACACTGTACGCGTGCAAATGTTAAAACTTATTATACAAAAATAAAAATAATATGATCAGAATTATAAATACATATATATATATATATATATATATATATATATATATATATATATATATATATATATATATATATATATATATATATACATATACGCAAAAAAGGGATTTCATGTCTAAGTAGTATGAAATAAACTATACTTTTCTCTATCACACTTTTTAGGTCGCGCTCACTCCGTCAGTTTGAGCGTAACGTTTTTTAAAAAGCACTTTTTATACATGGAGTGAAAAATTTACATTTATTAAAGATATTTTTTTTTTGTATGAAAAATTTTATGACATTTGAGACACGAAATCCTATCATTATGGTAACGTATATGCGTAATACTATATCCCTTTAACCCTTAAATACCTGAAGTTTGAAATTTGATCCGGGGTTATAGATCGCATTGAGCGCCTACAATCGATTTTATTATAATATTTGGCTGTTTACATGTTACCAAATGATTTTTTTCAAAATAAATATATAAAAATATCGTTTTGATTTTTTTTTTTACTATTTCTCTCAATTAGTAAACACAGTAACGGGGACACTTATATATTTTTTAATTTGATTTAATAAATCAGGCTTTTTATGGGTTAAAGGGAATACAGATAATTTGGTAACACCTTATTTATTGTATATTAACTATACAGTCTCATTGATACAAGGAGAACGACTTCATATTGATAAACTTGATATAAATTTACCCTTTTATAGATTTTTTTTACAACACGGCCCAAACGAGCATGCGGCTCACCTGATGGTAAGTGACTACCGCCGCCCATGATCACCCACAACTAATATTATCACGATAAGAGATATCATATTGTAATGATGCTGTAAGCAGTTCATATTGTAAATTCAAATTCTCATTACAAATTATTCAATTTTAATGAAAACTCATCATTATAATTACAGCCGTTATCTGTCCACAGCTGGACATAGATCTCTCCCATAAATTGTCTCCCTGCAATGTAATACATATTTGAGGTCGTCCCTCCCACTAGTGGGGGGTCGTCCTACACTGCGTTTGCCCGTACGGGGTCGCCACTCAAGAACGTTTCTTCCACATCGGTTGTCGTTTCTTCGAGCTATGTGACCAGCCCATTGCCACTTCAGCTTGCTTATCCTTCGGGCTATATCGGTGAGTTTGGTTCTTTTGCGGATATCCTCGTTTCGGATTCTATCACGCAGACTTCGAGCATAGCTCTGTTCATAGCGCGCTGAGTTACTTGTAGCTTCTGCATACGGGCAATCGTGTAGGAGCATGTTTCGGTTTCATAAGTCATCACTGGCAACACGCGCTGGTTGAAGACCTTCGTCTTCAAAGTTTGAAGTATTTTGGATGAGAAATAGCATATAAATGTTCTTAATTATAATCTTTCGCTCCTTTTTTTACATGCCTAACTGCAACGGTGTTTCCAGAAATGCTGTCTTATCAAAAAATATTAAATCTAATTTGATCAGTCAAGCCTAGAACTCCCCAAACAGGGGAACGTAGAAAGATACGAAATAGGGCATAATTTGGAAAGAAAAACTAATGCTTACTTCTCTGTTATATGTATGTATTGGTGAAACATGGCCTGAGTTCGTTTGGTTTGTTTTTTATAACTGTACAAAACTCGGTCCGGTGAGAGCAAAGAAAACCAGTATATAAAATATGTATATATTTAGACGGACTGTATATAACACAGATGTTAACTCAGAAAAAAAATCTTGCATTAAAATAGACAAGAAAGAAATGGAAGAAAACTATATCGCGTTCTGTTCAGTACAACGACATCTAGTGACAAGGAATTCAAATTTACTATGTGAAACCTAGACAATAATTTAGATTTAAAATAAAAGTCGATAAAATAATGTTTTTTTTTTGTAATGATAAAATTCGAGGGGGTATGCAAATATTAGGTATATATTTTATTGAACTAGATCCTATTTTGCAGAAGTCGATTTCACTGGTTGTTGAACTACAATTATTTTGTTTAATTCCGCTACCGTTAGTATGTGTGTGACTGCCAACACTCAAACATTTGTGATGCAGTTTAAGTGCCGAACCATTAATACTTGCCTTTGAGCAGCGATTTAATAATTTGCCTGAAGATACCTCGTTTAGAAATAAAACACGTATTGCAAAACGTGCGTGAACAAAATGGCGGTTGGAGATTGATGGCTAACATGGAAGGTTGTGTAACTTCTGGTAGTAATAGTGGTGGTCAATCTTCGAGTGTTGACAGTCACACACATACTAATGGTAGCGGAATTAAACAAAATAAACAAAATAATTTAACAAAATCTAATTAAATAACCATTATTATTTATAAATCCGGGGAGGATCAACAAAAGAAAGGTTGGAAGACCCTGGTCTATCCCATAGAAGTACATAATTTTTGATATTACAAAATGACCCCATTTGTGGGTATTAAAAGAGAATACTGTAGTCGAAACGAGTAAGGTAAATACTTTTTCTCAAACACGCTTGGAAATGTGAGCATTATTTTAACAATCTTCTTCGAAATAAATCAATATTGCCGTACTGGCCAGATACATGCGAGCAGCGGCCGGCAAAAGTTGTATGAAAATCCATATCTGTCGTGTTTCGCGGCCAGATAAATTACTATGTAAACTCATATCTGTCCTGTAATTTAAAAATGGAATTACCTTTTACTTCGAAATATGGCTACCAAGGAGGTAACTAATAAAAGGTTTTATTTAAATTTCGAACTAGCTTGCAAATAGAGAGCTGTTTATTGGAAAAAACAACAAAGGAACATTATGGCGCGTGAAAAATTATTATTGTTCGTTATTCGTCATTGAACTTAAAAAGTAAAATTGTTTTTGATTTCCGCGCATTGTTTGAGAAAAGTACTATACAAGCCTTGGCCACAACTAGACATTGATGGACTCACGTATGTGTGCGTCGCCTCGGCCCACATTTAAACGTTTGTCCATCAATGCCTCAGTTGCTGGCCGCTGCAGTAATGTACTATATCCCCATTCATGTCAAGTGTTCCATTTAAAAGACATAATTATTTCTGAACGTCATGAAGTTAGCGAAGTTGAAGTATTTGGGCATAGCGTCCAGTAACTCTGCAAACTGAGTCGTGTAGTCTTTAGGGTGGTGGATTTTGTGTGCGTGGTGCGACACGTCCACCAACGGTCCATTCTGCATCGACAGCGGCACCTGGCGGACGACAACATAACAAGATGAGGGAAAGAAAATGGATAGTGGGATCAAACAACTCTATTAATACAACACTTTTCACTGGAGGGGGGCTTCGTGTAATAAGCGAAAGCATGGGTTTTCTTATCCAACCTAGAATGGCGGGGGGGAAAAGGGATTGTTAGTGATGAGGTCTAACTGTTCCATTACTGCATCCTATCAGGTTGACCTTCGCGCGTTTCCCCTGGAAGCCATCGTGGTTAATTCTAGTGCAATTCGTCATGATAGGCTAACTGACCTGCTTTTATTCTCACCTATCATCCTTCACTGGTGCCCCGCTGGTGTGTGCTGATAGCGCAGGTGGGGTAACCATTCCATTATCACCCATTAAAAAAAATAGGGGTGCAAATATATAACTTAGAATGGCGAACAAGCGGACGGCCCACCTGATGGAAAGTGGTAACCGTCACCTATAGACATGAGCAGTACCGTGGACATAATAGAGTATACTGTTTACGCCAGGTTGCCAGTAAGAGATTGCTTCTAGCGATAAGGCCGCCCTTTGTATATGTACATTTTGTATAAATACTCTTTATATACGTCTGTACTGTGAGCAATAAAGAGTTTATTATTATTATACACTATAATATTAATGGTGCTATTCATGTCTATAGGCGACAGTTACAGCTTCCCATCAGGCTGGCCGTTAGCTTTACCTTTATATATATCATACATCATTATCATAAGTTTCGAGAAAAGACCATATTCCTTTTTAAAAGGCCGGCAGCACACCTGCAATGCCGCTGGTGTTGTGGGTGATCATGGGCGGCGGTAGTCACTTACCATCAGGTGAGCCGCATGCTCGTTTGCCCCCTGTGTTGTAAAAAAAAATGACTTACGACCAATGTGAGATTGAAGGCGAGCGTGTCGAGGCTGCCCTTGTACGTGGCCTCCGAATGCACCATGACGTAGTAGGGCCGGCCGGCCACGTCGCCTGTCGCCTGCAGCCGCGGCGCGAGGCTCCAGGCCGCCAGCCGCGCCCCCGCCCGCGGCCACACCGTCACCATGTTGTGGGGGGCGGCTGCGGTGGGGACAACGGTTCATTAGCAGGGGATTTTTTTTATACAACTTTGAATGGCAAACAAGGTGGGCCGATCATGCATTGTTTGCCATTCTAAGTAAATTCACGTATAAAAAAAACACAGCCATCTTCACGGTTGAAACACGAATGGGACAGCCCGAAGAAAGATCACGTTAGAAGACTATACAATTGCCAATCCGCTTATTTACAATTTTATTAATAGCGTGGAAACCACTTCCTAACAATACACCCTATCAGGTCAACCTCCACGCGGTTCTCCCTGAAAACCATAATGGTAAAATCCACCCCCCTGCATATACCCTCTTATTAGAGAGGCCTATGTCCAGCAGTGGGCGGTTAACGGCTGATGTGATGATGATGATGACATTCATTGTTCATCATCATTTCAGCCGCGATTATCCGTTCTCAGTCTCCATTACCATTGGGTGTGTAAGAAGCGACCAAGGGAGGGCGAGGGATGAGCAACAGCGTCCATCTTAAAACATCACCAAGCCTAACTAAAAAACGGTTCCGTAGCCACCATGAACAATATATCCACTCGACTCCCTGCAATGCATTTTTATTATTAGATTCATCATGATGGTCTAACTGACCTGCTTTATCCTCACCTATCATCCCTCACTGATGCCCTGTCAGTCCGATTACATAGCGCAGACGTTTGGTCGTTAAAAAACGCTGGTTACCACTCAAATGAACCTCTCTTCTCCATCGATGACATTACATTATTTGAAGATAAATATAATGATAATTTATTTATTTGTGTGTGTGGACTGACCGGTCATGTTGAGTTGCAGCGTGCAGGTCTCGCCGAGGCAGTCGCGGCCGACCACGCGGATGCCCGGCTCCGGGTCGAAAGGCGCCGGCCCGGACGTGTACAGGAACAGCGCGTCCTTCCTGACAACCGATTCATCAATCAATTGATTTATCAACCAATCGACTTATTAACCAATCGATTTATAAATCAATCGATTTATTAACCAATTGTTTTATCAGTCAATCAATTCATTAAATACTTTTTTCCGTAGATATTAGTAACATAATTGTAACTAGACTATACATGAGAGATATTTATGAAAAATTGATGAGGGGGGGGGGTCTTAATAGAAGGAATAGATATAATAACAATATTTTTTTGAAATTTTTATTATTTATATATATATATTTGTTCTGGCCTCGTGCAAAAAGTACACCACCAAATTGGATGCAGTTTTCCTCTGTTATGTTCCTGAAGATCCAACTTAAAATCTGGTGTATGTTTTATCTTGATATTCTATCTAAAAGTATCCTATAAGATAGACAAAAATATAGTGTACAATACAATTTATATAAATACTAGTGATCCGCCCCGGTTTCGCGCGCATATATGATAATGGAATAAAGATAAACTAGTATTTTATATCAGCTTAAATAGATAAATTTTTGATACATCGATTCACATTTGTGTTTTTCGTACGGATCTCTAATTTATTTCAATAATATAGCCCATGTTACGCGCTGATAATGTAGCTTTCTGTAGGTGAAAGAATTTTATAAAATCGGTTGAGTAGTTTTTGAGTTTATCCATTACAAATAAACATACAAAAAATTTAATCTTTCCTATCATTATATTGATAATAGACAAAAAAATATGTATTAATTTCTTAATAAAACAATGAGTTTCCTTGACGGTGTATACCGATAGCGCAGGTGAGGTCTCTGTTTCATTTTCACCGTTTATTTTATGCAACTGAGAATGGCAAACAAGCTGACGGCCCACCTGATGGAAAGTGGTAACCGTCGCCTATAGACATGAGCAGTACCATGGACATAACAGAGTATACTGTTTCGCCCATGATACCCCCCATGCGTTGCCATTCCTGAGGATTCAGGTGTTATTCCTCTGTACCCTGTAGATTTACTGTTGTGTTAGTAAAGATTCACTTACAAGTACTGTCCGAACGAGACCCTGTACAGCGGCAGGTTGCAGAACACGTATCTCTGGCAGTCTTCGGAGAAGTCAGTCCTGGAGTGCAGGGAGATGCCGTGGTCGCGGAGCGCGGGCAGCACGCGGTCGCTGCTGTAGGGGTCGTGCTTGGTCACCAGGACGCCCGTCGTGCTCGCAGTCACCGCGCCGTTTATATCGTGCGACTTTATCTCTGAGTGCTGCGAGAAAACATTCTGCTATTATAATAATATTGAATGAGAGGTTGCCGTACTATAAGTATGAGCCCCAGCCGGTCCTCGAAAGCGACAGCGTCAGGCTCTACTGGGACCGATCCATCATCACGGACAGGACAGTTCTTGCGAACAAACTTGATATCGTAATGATGGATAGGGAACTTTCGAGGGTGTTTTTGGTGGATATCACCATACCGCATGACGAAAACCTCGTGAAAGCCGAAACTGAGAAAAAGAGAAAACATCTCGACCTGGCTCACGAGGTGACCGAAATGTGGGGGGTGGCGTCCACCGAAATCATTCCAATCGTTTTGTCGATTTTATCCCAACTAGACTGGAAAAACATCTAAGACGGTTGGGATTCCGGAGCGGTTCACTCCCGGGAAAGATGCAGAAAGCAGTGCTCTTAGATTCTGCCCGCATTGTACGCCGGTTTCTCTCCCTGGGGCCCTGAACCCCGGCCGACTGTGCATCTGGCGGGGTTAGTTTGCCATCTCTCCTTATTTATGTATTTTACACTTTATTGCATCAAATAAAAAGAGAAATAACAAATACAGTAAATATTAATGAGAAGTGATACAAAAGGCGGCTTTATCGCTAAGCAATCTCTTCCAGACAACCTTTGGGTAGAGGACATTGCGTTGCCATTCCTGAGGACTCAGGTGTTATTCCTCTGTACCCAGTAAATTCACGCTATATCCCACCCTTCAAACCGAAACACAGCCATGCAAACACAACTGCTTTACGGTTGAAACATGAATGGGACAGAGGTATCCAAGCAATCGACTTTTGTACAAAGTCTCCCTCTCATACGCTCGCACTATCTATATTCATAAACTCGCACTAAAGGTTCATAAACACACATAAGAGAGAAGGCCTTTCCGTAGACAATGCACAACTCTGAATGTATGAAATTTGTAGTAATACTCACAAACCAGTAATGCCTCTGCGTGGAGGGTCCGTCGTCGCTGTACGGGCTGAACGGTATGAACATGAGCACCAGGCACACCAGCGACACGAAGCCGGCCGTTATCCACAGCCGCCGCCGGGAAAACAGCAGTTCGATTCCAGACTGACGATATAAATATAATTAAAATCTATGGTGGAGAATTATTTAATGATTGTACGTTACCTGTGGGGAATTATTTAATTAATGTAAACTAGTAGTGGCGAATTAGTTAATGATTGTATGTTACATGTTTCGAATTAGTTAATGATTGTATGTTACATGTGGCGAATTAGTTAATGATTGTATGTTACATGTGGCGAATTAATTAATGATTGCATGTTACATGTGGAGAATTATTTAATGATTGTACTTTACATGTGGGGATTTATTTAATGAATAAATATAAGTCAGAGGTGGGGATTTAATTAATAAAAGTGAGCCAGAAGTGGGGAATAATGTAACGCTAGATTTGGATATTTAATCAATAACTATTGCCGGAGTACTAACGACAGTAGAGCACGTGAGGGCGGCGAGCGCGAGGTTGACGGCGGCGATCAGGTAGTCGGGCCGGTCCAGCCCCGAGCGACCCATCACCGGCAGCACCATGGCGTCCGCCCGCAGCACCAGCGAGAACGCGAACATCGTGCCCGGCAGCGACAGGGCCACCTCCAGCACCAGGTGGCGCCACGCTGCACGTGCCAGTACAAATATCAATTAAACAGGCAACGGAGCACCACCAACATGTGTCACTGGTGAAAAAACATGAACGCACCTTTCATCCGGAAGTATCTGACGACGGTGAGCGAGACGATCGCCGCGCAAGACATGAACATGAGCGGGAAGGACAGCGCGTACCGCACCGTGGTCAAGCTGGGCACGCACGTCAGTACGACTAGCACCGCGCCCAGCAGCAGCCGCGTCGCCGCCATCGCTTGCAGCGCTCGAATCGAGCGATTCAAGCCGCTCTGCGGTATACAATTGACACGGATCAATCTCAGAACATACGCTAAAGGTTTACTTTTATATATTTAGAGGTGTGTCTTAAAATAATACATAAGATGTAAAACAAACATGTCTCAAAATTATATAGTTCTATATAAAAATTTCTTAAATGTTATATATAAAACATTTCTCTACGTAGTCTAATCAGACTAATTATTACCTATAGAAGATGATCAGATAGACCGTGTTCTACCTCAGAAAGGAGTCAAGGCCAAGAGTCTTTTTTTACCACTGAGGTGGCAAACAAGAATACGGCCAACCTGATGGTAAATGGTTATCGTAGCCTATGAACACCTGCAATACCAGAGGTATTACGCGCGCGTTGCCGACCCTGAAGAAACCTCTTTACCCCCCTTTTGAAGAACCCCATGCTGTAGTCTCTTGGGAAACTACAGCTTGGGTACCTAATCCACAGTGTATTTGATTCGAAAATATCTATGAGTCAATGTTTACCTTGCTGGTCCTCCACCTGTCGTAGAGATGCGATACGATGACAGCGGGGACGAGGTACGGCATCCAGTACAGCGGGACCACCAGCCACGGGTAGGACAGGTACCTGCGCCGCGTTATCACTCCACATTAGTTGATATCGCCATATAGTTTTAAACTAAGCGAAACTTGTGGATACTATCTATCTATCTATCCATTTAAGAGCTGCGCTCTTGTCGGTGGAGCTCTTGCCACTCACTAAGATTTTCAGAGAGTCTCCTCACCTCTTGATACGACACGACACCAACTCGTTCCTTGATCTGCCTGATGTAACTATATCTCGGTCTCCCTCTCCCCCGCCTTCCTTCTATCTTACCTTCTATTATAATGTTCATAAGTTCGTCATGTCGTATCAAGTGTGGATACTAGACAATTATTTAAAGATCAGCCATTAGTCGTTTATTCAAAAACAATATCTGAAATTATGTATGATTTTACAAAAAAAAAGCATTAAATTAAATATTAGAAGTATTTTAGTAAAAAATCATCAATGAATACATATGATTACATGAAAGATATAGGTAAGAAAAACTATTATAGGGGGGGGCTTTATGAACGCAAGAACTTTAAGAACTCAAAACAATGATGTTTAAAATATTTGTATGTACGTTTGTGCAGGTTAATCTCAAAAACGGCTTAATCTAACTTCAATTGGTTTATAAACTTCAATTGGTTTATAAATTAAAAAAGTTATATCAATCTAAAGCAGGGGTACCCAAACTTATTTTGTCTACTGCCCACTTTGAGAATAAATTATATTTTAGCGCTCCCATTTTGTCAATTACTTGAAAATCACTATAACTTCAAGATCAACAAATCATCCCCGAAGCCTCTACACAACGGCCCCGTTTTTTTTCTGAGTCTCTTACACCGCCGCCCTTTAGGCCAGCAGCGCCCATAAGGGGGCGTTATCGCCCACTTTGAGAAAGGCTGATCTAAAGAATGACATAAGTTGGGTACAGCCTCACTAATACGTAAATCTTTGGCAAATACCGAACGGAATGTTTTACGTAAAAATTTCAATAATTAATTAATTCAATTTCAATTTCATCAATGTAATTAAATTCTAATTAAATTCCAAATTAATTTAATGATTTTAACGAATTTTTTTTTTTATTTCCATTTGTTTTATTTTAATTTAATGCAATTTAATGTAGTTGTTCATATGTTTAACTTTTAATTCTATATTTATTGTTTATTAAAACAATCTTACAATTTATATAAGAAATTTAATTATATAAAATACTGTAGCCTGACGCTCCCAAAGAGGGTTGACGTCAGGCAGGCGGCCGGTCGTAAAACTGTAAGCTAAATCCTTTGGAAATGGATAAAACCATATTACGCCGACCCCAAATAATAATTGGGATAAGGGTAGGAAGATGATGACTGTAGCCTGACGTTCATAACACAGGACTTTCCTGTCATGGAGACGAGATACACTTACTGTGAATCAATATGTAATGTATTTTTTTTTTTTACAACACAGGGGGCAAACGAGCATGCGGCTCACCTGATGGTAAGTGACTACCGCCGCCCATGGTCACCCACAACACCTACGGCATTGCAGGTGTGCTGCCGGCTGTAGTATATGTATCTATTAATGGCATCTGTTATATTATTCAAATTGTAGAACTAGTGAATGGGCTACTGACCTCATTTGTATAGTGGTGACGACCATCAGCGGTACGAAGATGAGCACCGCCAGCACGCCGGCCAGCATCGCCGCGATGCGGCCTAGCACAGCGTACAGAAGCTCTTGCACGGTCGTCCATCCTGGTTTCAAGTTTTTTTTAATAAAAAAAAGAAGATAAAGACTGTTGTCTGAGAAGAACCCGCAAGGAACTCAGCAGCTCAGGAATGTAAGGACTTAATAACAATACATAATTTTTGGAACTTTCATCGAATAAAACTTGACCTATCTTCCCGGGATATTAATGGAATTTAAAAGCTCCATTGCTAGCAATATATATACCTTATCAGGTCGCCCTCCACGCAGTTCCACCTGGAAACCATCGTCAATTCTTATGGAATTCGTCACAGTGGGCCAACTGACCTGTTTTCATCCTCACCTATCATCCCTCACTGGTTCCCCGCCAGCGTATACTGTTAGCGTAAATGGAGTTACCATTCCATTATCATCCATAAAAAAACATAACCTTTATTTATTTATTTATAAATTACTCACCACACTTACAGTGTCCCAAAACGTGAAGTGAGCCATGGGTTTATTTTACAAACTTAAAAATTTAAAACAACATTTTAAAAATATGGAATGTTGTGGAACTTCTGGTAGTAATAGTGGCGGTCAATCTTCGTATGTTTTTTTTTTTTTGATGAGTGAAAATGGTATGGTAACCCCGCCTGCGCTTACGGAATAAGCTGGCGGAGCACCAGTGAAGGGTGATAGATGAGAATGAAAACTGGCCAGTAAGCCCATAATGATGAATTCATCAGGAATTAATCATGATAGTTTCCAGGGGGAACAGCGAGGAGGTCGACCTGGTTAGGTATATTGCTAGCAATGGGATTCTCAGTCTCCATTACTAACAATCCCTTTCCCCCAATCTTCGAGTGTTGCCAGTCACATACATACTAACGGTAGTGGAATTAAACAAAATAATTGTAATCAAATAACCAATTATTTATGCTATATTAGGGTATTTTTTTAATGGGTGAAAATGGCATGGTAGCCCCGCCTGCGCTATCGGTATACACTGGCGTGGCACCAGTGAGGGATGAATGGTGAGGATGAAAAGGCAGGTCAGTTAGCTCATCGTGACGAATTCAACGATAAATTAGTCACGATGGTTTCCAGGGGGAACCGCGCGGAGGTCGATCTGATAGGGTATATTGATAGCAATGGGGACTAACTTCCCCATTACTAACAATCCCTTCCCCCCCTCAGCTATATTAGGGGTAAGTTCGGAGTCTCTTTGCGTGATAGAATCCGAAACGAGGATATCCGCAAAAGAACCAAACTCACCGATATAGGCCGAAGGATAAGCAAGCTGAAGTGGCAATGGGCTAATCACATAGCTCGAAGAACTAACAACCGATAGGGAACAAAGGTTCTTGATTGGAGACCGAGTACGGGTAAACGCAGTATAGAATAACCCCCCACTAGATGGAGTGACGACTTGAAATGCATTGCAATGAGTCAGTGGATGCAGGTGGCTCAGGACCGTTCTTTATGGCAGTCTATGGGGGAGGCTTATGTCCAACAGTGGACGGATAATAGCTGAAACGAACCAATGATTTGAACTTCTGCAAGATCTAGTTGAGTAAAGTACAGTTAATTTTCTATATAAGCAACTCATTTGAACCAGTTTCAATTAAAAAAAAAAATCTTATTGGGAAAAGTTGCTTACAGGGAAAAAAGGAGTATAAAAATACTTACCGTCTGGAAAATATTTTCACTTATTTCTTTTATTAACTAAGCTGAGTAGAATAAATATTTTTTTTTTTTATACAACTTAGAATGGCAAAGAAGCTGACGGCCCACCTGATGAAAAGTGGTAACCGTCGCCTATAGACATGAGCAGTACCATGGACATAACAGAGTATACTGTTTCGTCCATGATACCCCCCATGCGTTGCCATTCCTGAGGACTCAGGTGTTATTTCTCTGTACCCAGTAAATTCACGCCATATCCCACCCTTCAAACCGAAACACAGCCATGCAAACACAACTGCTTCACGGTTGAAACACGAATAGGACAGAGGTACCCAAGCAAACGACTTTTGTACAAAGTCTCCCTCTGGTGATATATAAAGAAAAAAGTGAAATATAAAGAATGTTGCTTATAGAGAGGTTGTTTATATAGAGCGTTTGTTGAGTTTAATTGTTTTATGTTTCCAGTCTCCACAATTATTATTTTTAATAATTGCAACATTAGGCATAGACAACGAAAGAGTAGTTACGGTAGAGTAGGCCAGAGGGCGCTGATGATTGTCTTTGGTGTGTGTGAAAAATATATATATATATATATATATATATATATATATATATATATATATATATATATATATATATATATATATATATATATATATATAGCGTTCACTGTATTTAAAAAGTGTGCACTGACTGGGCCCGACGAGCCAGGCGTAGTAGGCGACGGAGAGCAGCGCCAGCAGCGCTATGAGGGCGTCGATGGCGTGCGCGGCCGGCTTCGAGTACGCGATCACCGACAGGTTCAGGAAGTCGTAGTACACCGCCCCCGACGGCTCCACCTGCCCCACGGAATTATGCTACTTAGAATGGCAAACAAACTTAAAAACGCACGTCAAATTAAAACCACGAGACCCGGAGGTGGTAGCCTCCAGAGTTGAGACTGAGGTAATGGGGTACGTCCCGAGGCCCCCACCTCGGTCGCTCACACCATCATATATATATGGAAGAGACTGGAGTAACACGGAATGAACTGGAATAACATGGAATGAACTGCAGTAGCACGGAATGAACTGGAATAACATGGAATGAACTGGAATAACACGGAATGAACTGGATTAGCACGGAATATACTGGAGTAACATGGAATGAACTAGTAGCACAGAATGAAAATAACATGGAATGAACTGGAATAACACGAAATGAACTGCAGTAGCACGGAATGAACTGGAGTAACATGGAATGAACTGGAGTAGCACAGAATGAACTGGAATAACATGGAATGAACTGGAATAACACGAAATGAACTGCAGTAGCACGGAATGAACTGGAGTAACATGGAATGAACTGGAGTAACATGGAATGAACTGGAGTGACACGGAATGAACTGGAGTAACATGGAATGGACTGCAGTAGCACGGAATGAACTGGAGTAACATGGAAAGGACTGCAGTAGCACGGAATGAACTGGAGTAACATGGAATGGACTGGAGTAGCACGGAATGAACTGGAGTAACATGGAATGGACTGGAGTAGCACGGAATGAACTGGAATAACACGGAAGTTACCGGAGTAACACGGAATGAACTGAAATAATACGGAATGGACTGGAGTAGCACGGAATGAACTGGAGTAACATGGAATGGACTGGAGTAGCACAGAATGAACTGGAATAACATGGAATGGACTGGAGTAGCACGGAATGAACTGGAATAACACGGAAGTTACCGGAGTAACACGGAATGAACTGAAATAATACGGAATGGACTGGAGTAGCACGGAATGAACTGGAGTAACATGGAATGGACTGGAGTAGCACAGAATGAACTGGAATAACATGGAATGGACTGGAGTAGCACGGAATGAACTGGAATAACATGGAATGGACTGGAGTAGCACGGAATGAACTGGAATAACATGGAATGGACTGGAGTAGCACGGAATGAACTGGAGTAACATGGAATGGACTGGAGTAGCACAGAATGAACTGGAGTAACATGGAATGGACTGGAGTAGCACGGAATGAACTGGAGTGATATGGATTAAACTAGAGTGACATGGAGCGAATTGAAGTAGAGACAATTAACATAGAAAATAGCAAACCTTATAGAAGTTTTGCATTTTCCTTACCATTACATTGACCATTTTCACATAAGTGAACAGTATATAAGTGAGATGTACCTTATTCTCGAGGTCCTGTAGGTCAGCCAGCTCGGTCAGCAGCGGCAGCAGCATGTCTCCGGCGCACTGCACGACGCCCTCCCGCACCAGCGACGGGTGGTCGTACCGCGTGTGGTACACGTGGCCCCACTTCGAGTACGCTATATCGATACCTGCCAACCGTACTCGCATCTTATAGATAGACATACATTATACTCAATGTCACCCCTTCCTTTCCCCTGAGAGTCGTAAGAGGCGACTAAGCGAACTCCATGGTCGAGGGATGGTCAACAGCCCCCCTTTTAAACATCACCAAAGATTAACTGCTGTTGCGAACTCGTTTGCCAAGCGTGGCAACTACTGCCAAAAATCCCCCTTATGACGGAGGATTATGCTCAGATGTGAACAGTTAATGGCTGATACGATACGAGGATTATTAGGAATCATTGAAATCAGTTTACAACTGGCACAATAATATATTGAATTTATACTATTAATAAAAAAAAAATAGTCAAATTGACATTTACCAGAGGGAGACTTTGTACAAAAGTCGATTGCTTGGGTACCTCTGTCCCATTCGTGTTTCAACCGTGAAGCAGTTGTTTGCATGGCTGTGTTTCGGTTTGAAGGGTTGGATATGGCGTGATAATATTGTAGAGGAACACTGATAATTTTTAAGGTTTCTAATGTGATGTGATGTAATGTGCACCCGTGCGAAGAAAAAGCGAAGTAAGAATGGCAAAAAAGCTGACGGCCCACCTGATGGAAAGTGGTAACAAGTCGCCTATACACATGAGCCTGTACCATGGACATAACAGAGTATACTGTTTCGCCCATGATACCCCCATGCGTTGCCATTCCTAAGGACTCAGGTATTATTCCTGTGTACCCAGTAAATTCACACCATATCCCAATCACCCTTCAAAAAGAAACCGAAACACAGTTTTAAAGCATGCAAACACAACTGCTTCACGGTAGAAACACGAATGGGACAGAGGATGCCCAAGCAAACGACTTTTGTTATAATTCTCCCACCCACCTTCAAATAAAACATCATCAGCACACCAGCCGTGAACTGTCCACTGCTGAACATAGGTCTTCCTCTTCAGGAGTTTTGCTAGTAATTGTCATGATTGACAGACGGGTTGACACAACAGCAGTTTTTTTTTTGATGGTTTAAAATTTTCATTTATATTTGCCCATTCCTGCGCTAACGGTGTTACGCTGGCGGAGCACCAGTAAAGGGTTCATAGATGAGAATGAAAACAACTGCCAGTTAGCCCATCATGATGAATTCATCAAGAATTAACTATGATAGTTTCCAAGGGGAACCGTGAGAAGGTCGACCTAGTAGGGTATATTGCTAGCAATGGGATTCTCAGTCTCCGTTACTAACAATCCCTTTCCCCCCACACAACAGCAGTTAGTCTTTGGTGATGTTTTAAGAAGGACACTATTGCCAATTCCTTAACCATTAAGTTCCCTTAGTCGCCACTTACAACGCCCACGCTTCGCGAGCTTATAATGCCTTATGGCGTACTCTAGCAGCTATCTTTTATGGGGTAAATAGTGAGACGGCCCCTCACCGCTGATGTTGCCGAAGTCCCGCCAAATCCTGAAGTCTGTGTCGGAGGGTATGACGCCGGACTGGAACAGGTACTCGCCGAACGACTGCGCGTTAGGCCGCGGCACCACTCGCCTGAACGCGCGCAGCAGCCGCAGGTCCGTCGCCTGTCGTCATGTAAACGGGTGCTGCCTTTAGCTTTGTATTGTTACATACTCTCTTATTTATTATGTAAGAAGCATGTTAAAACACGTTCCTTCGGGGTCCTAGCTAGACCCAAGTTTAAGGTAGGGCAAAAAACAAGATCCGACCTGAAAACCAACGTGGTAAATTTCAGGTGTATTCGTCCGATGGGCTAACTGACCTGCTTTCATCCTCACCTATCATCCCTCACTGGTGCCTCGCCAGTGTATACTGATAGGGCAGGCGGGTTCACTCTTTCATTATCACCCATTAAAAAATGTGCCTATATAATCACCATCATTATATCAGCCGTTAACTGTCCACTAGTGAAGTGAAGGTTGCCTGGAAGAGATCGCTCTTAGCGATAAGGTCGCCCATTGTTTTCTCATTGTGATTATTTCTTGTAATTGTTTATATCTATAATAAGTTTACTATTGTAATCTTTTGGAGGAAACAATGAAGAGTATCTATCTATCTATCTAGTGAATATAGATTTCTCCCATATGGAGGTTTTGCCAGAAACTGGCAACCGCAACCAGGTCTGGGTGAATGTTTTAAGAGGGACGTTGCTGCCCATCCCTCGTGCTCCCTTAGTCGCCTCTTACGACACCCACGGGAAAGAAAGGGTTGGCCCATTGTATGCCGGTTGGCATTCTATTGTCACACGACAGCGTTACCTGAAAGACGGCGGGCTTGCCGTTCATGCCGGCAGCGTCCAGGTTGACGACGACGGTGGCGCCGCGCGACCAGCTGTGCTGCAGGAACCCATGGCTCGCCTGCAACACGCACCAATCCTCAAGTCAATAGACACACACACACACACACACACACACACATATATATATATATATATATATATATATATATATATATATATATATATATATATATATATATATAGCTTCCTCAGCTTATCAGCTTGTTTGTCATTCTAAGAATCATATAACGAGTAGATATGCTGCGTCCGACCTGCAGCGGGTTCTCCTCGGCGCCGTTGAAGAGGAAGACGATGTTGTGTCGGTAGGGCCGTGCTCGCCGCGACATCTTTTCCAGCGTCTCCGCCATCACCGCGCAGAACACCACGTTGTCCGACGCACCTATGAGGATAGCATATGGTCAATAATGGGCAATAACGCCCCTTTGTGACCGTTTGAAACTTTCAAGGCAAGGGGGGAATTATCCTATTAAGGAAACCCAAAGAAAATTAGGGGGCGAGAAAAGAGACACATCATTGAGATGAAGCAAAGAAGACGCGGGTAGATTAAAAAATATGATCTAAAAGTAAAATTAAGATGTGGGGTGAGGACTCTAGAAAAAACACATTTTTTTTTATGGGTGAAAATGGTATGGTAACCCCGCCTGCGCTAACGGTATACGCTGGCGGAGCACCAGTGAAGGGTGATAGATGAGAATGAAAACAGGCCAGTTAGCCCATCGTGATGAATTCATCAGGAATTAACCATGATAGTTTCTAGGGAGAACCGCGAGGAAGTCGACCTGGTTGGGTATATTGCTAGCAATGGGATTCTCAGTCTCCATTACTAACAATCCCTTTCTCTCTAGAAAAAACACATTAGCAAAGCGGGTGATGGATGAAATGAGGCTGAGGAATGCTATAGATAGGCCAACTAAATTTATATATATATATATATATATATATATATATATATATATATATATATATATATATATATATATATAAAACAGGCTGTCTTTTCAAAACTTTAGATATATAGATAGATACTCTTTATTGTTTCCTCCAAAAGATTAATATCCTATAGTAAACTTATTATAAATATAAACAATTACAAGAAATAATCACAGTGAGAAAACAATGGGCGACTTTGGCTGTTTCAACTAAACAACGTGATATGACAGTGGACTTACTTGGTATGTTATTAGGAACATCAACCAACGAATACAATATGCTGTGACGCTCATGATGGAATAACATGGTCGTCACAGTATATTGTATGATGTCCATGGTGCTGCTCATGTATATAGGCGACGGTTGCCATTTCCCATCAAGTGGGCCGTCAGCTTGTTTGCCATGCTAAGTTATATTAAAAAAAAATATTTGTTTTCTTTTCAAAAAAAAATGAAAAAAATCACAGAATTACTCATTAAAACATCCATTTTTTTATAAACCTATTTTAGCTAACCGGATAATTTTTTTTTGGGCTCAACTTTCAGTGTAAAAGAAAGCGACAAAACAGTGCAATAATTAAAAAAGATTTCTAGAAAGGTTTATTTTTATGAATAAAAGAATAAATATTTAAGCATATTTGTCCATTGTTTAATACACATAACACAAGCTTTACTACGTTCGCCGCTAGATGGCGTTGTATAATATATCAAGTGGTATTTATGTGCAAAAAGTTTTACAAATGAATTTAATCTCTCTCACCTAACGCAAAAGGTACAGAGTCGTAATGACAGTTGACCAGTATCGACGAGCGGGTACTGCCGTCGCTGTTGAACCCGCTCTCCCCCTCTAGCACCGCCACGACGTTAGACAAATTGTGGTAATAATTCAAAAAGGGAGTAGACGAATTCATCAAATAACTGCCTGAAAATAAAAATAAAAAAAAAATAAGAAAGCTCGAGGCAAAAGGCATGAAAATACACCTATAGTATATATATTGTACCTTCCCAAGAGGTTTTCCCAAGAGACTACAGCATAGGGTTCTTCAAAAGGGGGGTAAAGAGGTTTCTTCAAGGTCAGCAACGCACGCGTAATACCTCTGGTATTGCAGGCGTTCATAGGCTACGGTAACCGCTTACCATCAGGTGGGCCGTATGCTTGTTTGCCACCTCAGTGGTATAAAAAACCTAAATTGAGGGATAATGGATGTTAATAATGGCGTCTACACCATTTTTAGTAATACACACTATCAGGTCGACCTCCACGCGGTTCCCTCTGGAAACCATCGTGATTAATAACTACTGAATTGGTCACGATAGGCCAATTGACGTGCATCATCCTTCATTATTCCTCACTGGAGCCACGCCATGCTTTGAGAGTCTTCGGTTTATCCGAAGTTTTCATTATACGAACCGGACGCCATCCCGATCATTACGGATAAACGAGATTTTATATAGTATCCTAGGCCGCCTAGGTGTGGTCCTGGCATATCATGGTCCACCCATTTCTTTCCCGTGGGTCTCGTAAGAGATGATTAAGGAGGTCGAAATATAGGCAACAGCGTCCCTCTTAAAATATCACCAAAACCTAACTGCGGTTGTCAATCCATTTGCCGAGCGTGGCAACTATTGACAAAATCTCCCAATAGAAGAAGACCTTCAGCAGTGGACAGTTCGTTAACTGTCCACTGCTGATATGATGATGATGATGTTGATATAGTAATTTTTTTAATGGGCGAAAATAAAATAGAGACGGCGCCTGCGCAATTAGTATACGCTGGCGGAAAACCAGTAAGGGATGATAGCTGAGGATGACAAAGGTTGTCTGGGAGAACCGCGTAGAGGTCAACCTGATAGGGTAATAATACTAGCAATGGGGTTGTTATTTTCTAGTACTAACAATCCCTTTCCCCCCAATCAGAATCCATTTTACAAGGGAGGGCGACATTCGCTGTCACTTTTGACCGCTTGGTTTGCCCGAACATCTAGCACTATTTAGGATCTTTGAAATATAATTAAATACCTGTAACAAACTGCCAGTCGGTCCTAATTGGTATTCTGGATTGTGCTGCTATCTGATCCAGCATATTCTTCAAATCCCGGGTCTTATTTAGGTGATACTCCGTCCCCGCGACCCTGGGCTCGTCGCCCAGGATTGTGTAGAGATACCTCCAAGCTGATTCTTCACTAAATATATCCGAACTCTGTGTGTCATGAGATACAGGATAATTATTAGGAGTAATGAAATTACATTTTAAAAATGAAAAATTGACTGAAATGTTTCTTAATTAATTAAGAAATAAAATTATTAATTAATTAAAGAATAACATTGATAATTAAAATTAAAAAATTAAGAATGAATTTATTAATTACTGAACTAATTAAGTAATTAAATTATAAATTACAATTAAAAAATAATTCTTAACATTATGTAAATTAATTTAATTAAAGGTATAAAATATAATAAACATCAGGAATGAATCGGTTTGAAGGGTGGAATATGGCACGAATTTACAGGGTACAGAGGAATAACGTCTAAGTCCTCAGAAATGGCAACGCATGGGAGGTATCACGGGCGAAACAGTATACTCTGTTATGTCCATGGTACTGCTCATGTCTATAGGCGACGGTTACCACTTTCCATCAGGTGGGCCGTCAACTTGTTTGCCATTCTAAGTTGTATAAAAAAAAAGTAAGACGTCAGTTTATTCTAGGCTTACTGTTTAGACAATACACTATAGAACTCACCTCTCTGGTAATGTCTGCATCCTGGTATGGTGTAGGCATATTGTCTTCGATCAGCTGAGTGAAATATCCGAGTAACAGATATACTCCGAGCACTACTATAATTATTGTACTTGGAATCTGGAATATTTTATTTTTAATTTAATTACTCATGAAAAAATATTTAAATTGATATCCCAATAAAACGTGAAGTATGCGACTATAAAAATAAGTCATGAAAAAATTAAAATAAAATGCTTAAATAATGACTCCTTTTTAGAGTCACAAAAGTTAGCTCGTTCCCTGGTACTGATTAATTGATTAATTTATAAAATTAAGCAAATATATAAAATAGCAAAGGAAACCCGCAAATTTTGACACACTTTAAATTTTATCGTTTCACATAAAGCATTATTTAAATTAAATATTAATTTACCACCAGCCTTTGACACTCATTAATTAATTATAGAATTTATATTTTTATGTAAATAAATATTAAATTATTAACACCAATTTCATTAGAGATCCCAACAGAAACCAATTTTAAAACAACCCAACTAACATGCTTTCTTTGTATTCTAATGTACATATAAATAGTATGTATTTTATTTATTTCATTAGAATGGCATTAATACAATATTATGTTTACTACTAAGTCAAAAAGGACTAGAACCCTGAAACCCGTGATCACAGAAATAAAAAATAAACAAACCAATTAGGTGAAGTGTAGGATAGATATATAGATTAAAATTTTAAGTGAAAAGGAAAAAAATATGAAAAGAATTTATAATCTAGAGAAATATGAAATGTATTTATTAGTTTTAAGTTAAGCGTATTAGAATTAACATTATGGTTAAGATAGGTTCAGGTTATAACTAGAACAGTCTACCACATGAACATCGAAATAAAAACCAAAACAAATCAAAGTATTTCATGCGTCTTAAATTTGTGTGTAGATGATCTTTAGTAAAAAATTTTACTTTATGGTTAAAGATTAACCCAAGAATTAAAAGCTAAATTGTAATTAAATTGATTTGCCAATTATTTATTTTATTTTAACCTTTTTCTGCCTTTCAAAGCAAAAATAGATAAATAAATATATCAACATATAACCCCGATAAAAACAATACGTCACAAACATTTAGTAATATGTCCCAAAACTGAATTTGCCCAGAACAACCATTTACTCACAGACTTAACGGGCTCATACAAATGTGTCCCTTTTCTGGTCACCTCATAGACAACCTAAAAATAATAATTATAGAAGAAACAGGAAAGAAAATAAAAATATGATTAGAATAACAAAATGTAATAAAAGCAATAGTATTAATTAGCAATTAGTTCATTAGTGATGCATCAGAAATAAACAAACATGTACATGATGTCACTAAATGAATAATAATGATAAGCAATGAATTGACACTTAGTCAAAATAATATATTAACCTAACGTGTTTAAAATAATAATATTATTTTAAACGAATTAAAATCAGATTAGATATATATATATATTATATTAAAATATTTTATTGTCCTATCCATATAACGAAATAAATATAAATGTTATATATACAAATATATTTAAAATATATTTTTATTATAATTATAAGAATTATTTTTTATAATGAAAATAATATCGTATAAAGCAATTAATTGTAAACTATAAATAAATAAATTAATGTACACATAAAATTGTATGTGTATTGTATGTACATAGTGTTGTATGAAATAAATGAAAAATTAACCCGTTGCCAGGGCTTTTCATCTCGATCTTTATCGTGGTCGCGACTCGGAACGTCCACGTACTCTGGTGTGCCATTCTGAAAGTAAACACGTGTACAACTAAGTTATTACTAAGTCATAAAGTATTTTGTATATTAGTTAATTATTAATTAATTATTTTTGATATATTTATTATTTGATTAATTAATTATTTTGTATATTTATTATTTGTTAATTAATTATTTTGTATAATTTATTATTTGTTAAATAATTATTTTGTATGTTTATTATTTGTTAAATAATTATTTTGTATATTTATTTGTTAAATAATTAATTATTTATTATTTTTTAATAAATTATTTTGTATATTTATTATTTGTTAAATAATTATTTTGTATATTCATTAATTTTTAATTATTTTGTAATATTATAAATGATTTAAAGCTCGCGATGTGTTATTGAGTAGATAAAAGGGAGTGAATTTCTGATGCAGGAGAGAAACGCCATATTCTCGAAAAAAAATTAAATTCATAACAAAATAAATGTTCTCTCAACTATAATCCTAATGGACAGTCAGAGGCATTTTATGATTATTGTAGTTGTGATGAACAGAATACTGATATATCTTCACACTTCACCCATCATATTAGAAGCCAGTGTAGCAGAGCGTGTGTCTACCGCCGTTTAATTACTGTACTTAATTTGGATTGTTATCAGTACATCCTGTTATTGTAGTGTTAGAAATTTAAATTGAAACAAAAAACTCTCATGAAAATTGTATTTTTTTTATACTCGATTCTTTGTTTTTAAGGATTTTTGTTTTGATGCAGACATTATGCCTATCCGAATACCCATAGGTAGGCATAATCATCATCGTCAGGCGCGACAGATATATATGTATATATGTATGCAGATATTACTATTATATTATTTTAATACTATACAAAACGACTAGGTACTAAGTTGAGACATCGAGAAAAAAGCGTCACCCAAGACAGCGACTACGAGATAAAAGGAGACTTCCGAAGTTGCAATATGCATAATAATATAAATTATGCAGGTACACCTAAAAAGTTATTCTTAGTAAAATTAATTAATAAAAGTCATTCCATAACCTGAGTGTTCATGGAGTTTTGCAGAATAGCAAAAAATTATTTAGAAAGTGTCCACTAATTACATTTAATTATGTTTATATATATTGTGATTGCTAAGGGAGCGAGTTAAGAAACTGTCAAGTTCACTTAGTTGGTAAATGTAATAAATAAATAAATAAATAAAATCTTTTTTGTATATAACTTTCATTAAACACATGAAATTTTAGATTGTTTAATATAGGTTACATACTAAATTAGTACATAGGATACATTATGTACTGATAGACGTGAGCGTAGGCGCAGATTATGATATTAATAAATTATCTAAATCTTAAATTTTCTATAGATCTCCTCGACTGATAATGATCCGAAAGAAACCGGCAATTTATTGATGGTACTCTTAACTGGTTTGGATTGTAAAACGATAACAAATTGTAATAAATGTAATCATTCTATTATCACTATGGAAGGAAAGGTGACAAAAGTTTTTTTTTTTTATTGTACCTACTAGATAATGTGTTTACATTGTAGTTCATTGAATCATACAAATTATATCCGCAACACCTGGCCCAAGAAAGAAAGAAGCCCTCCTTCTTTGCAACTTCTTTTTATGAGAAAACGAGGTTTTCATAAATATAATAATTTAAATTTTAAAATCTTAATATTTATTTTAAATATAATTAAAATTTTAAATTATGATTACTATATAAATTGTTAATTAAAACTTAAAATATTAAATGTTAAATTATGATTGTTATTTAAATTATAAATTGTAATTATTAATATTTATTTTAACTACATTTAAGATTTTAAATTATGATTGCTGTGTAAATTGTTAATTAAAACTTAAAATTTTAATAATTATTTATACTTTAAAATATTAAATGTTAAATTATGATTGTTATTTATTTAATCTTTGACAAAACAAGAAATTCAATAGTGACAAAATACATATGGTATCAACATGGAATTAAACTTTATCAATCACAGAAAGTACCTTTCTTTCTTTCTTTCTCGGGGGTGTCGAAGCGACTAAGGGAACTTAATGGTCGAGAGATAGACAGCAGCGTCCCTCTCAAAATATCGACTAACTGCGTTAGCCAACCCGTTTGCTAAGCGTGGCGATTACTGACAAAACCCCCAATAGAGGGAGGTCTATGTTCAACAATGGATAATTAACGTCTGTTATGGTATAGTATGGGGTCATTACTGAAAGTATCGACAAAATCTGTTCGAAGATATTACGGAACGTATAGACAAAAATAAAAATATATAATTGAAAGAAAAGAGACAAAACACATGCACTTGAGCGAACTTTCCTACGAATAATTAAGCTGAGGTTTTTCTTTTATCATGTCCATAGCTTCAAGAACATTTCCAGTTATATTGTATGAGTATAAATACTAAATTTATTTTAATTATACAATACATCTATTTGGGGGGAAAGGAATTGTTAGTAACGGAGACTAAAACTCCCGTTGCTAGCAATATACCTAACCAGGTCGATCCCCACACAGTTCCCCCGGAAACTATCATGGTTAATTCCTGATGAATTCATCATGATGGGCTAACTGGCCTGTTTTCATTCTCATCTATCACCCTTCACTGGTGCTCCGCCAGCGTATCCCGTTAGCGCAGGCGGGGTTACCATTCCATTTTCATTCACCAAAAAAAAAATACATCTATTTATATTATATAGATATATAAATTTATTTATTGTATTGTTATATATATTTAAAGTTATCAACTTATCAGAGAGACATTAAATCAAGAACGATGTAAGGTATTATAACATTTTGAACTTGATGTTGTTATTTATGCTTAATTGTTTATTTATTTATTTATTTATTTTTAATAAGGCACACATAACAAATTATAACCTTTTGTTAGGTTTATATGTTTATATAATTATGGTGTTAATGTTAGGTTATAATTCAAAAACATGTGTACACCACATGGTTAACATTTAAACATAACATTTCAATTTCGACACGTGGAAGACATAATAATTTGTAAACATTATATACATATACCATAATTTACATTAAAAGAAATTTAAACCATAAAACTATCATCACACAAGAAATTTAGAATTATTTTGTTTAATTCCACTACCGTTAGTATGCGTGTGACCGCCAACACTCGAAGACTGACCACCACTATTACTACCAGAAGTTCCACAACCTTCCATGTTAGCCATCACTTTCCGATTATCATTTTATCCACGCATGTTTTGCATCCTATTTTTATTTAGTTTATTTTTTGTTTTAATGGATTTTTTTTTTTCATTCCGACCTTTATACTTTTTTATACTATCAGTACATTTAATTTTATTGTCCTTCCTGCGACATCTTGTCTATCAAATAATCTACTACAGTCACCAAAGGTCTGGTTATCTCTGATAACATATGTTGAGAGCGGTTGTTATCGCTGAACTTGGAGTTTCTAGATAAATGTATTGATTTTTACCAATTATCACAAACTGTGCTTGGTATACTTCATAAAATTTATGCTTAGTTAGAGTTCAATTATTATTTATACTAACACTAGCGACCCGCCCCGGCTTCGCACGGGTGTACATTACATCACATCACATTAGAAACTTCTAAAGTTATCAATGTTTCTCTACAATATTATGCATGTATTATGCATATAAATCTTCCTCTTGAATCACTCTATCTATTAAAAAAACCGCTCCAAAATCCGTTGCGTAGTTTTAAAGATTTAAACAAACATACGGACGGACAAACAGCGACAGCAACTTTGTTTTATACTATGTAGTGATGATTATAAAGAGGTAAATTTGTGACTTTGTATGTCCGGGGTAATCTCCAGTACTATTCCTGAGTGCTATAAACTATTTTTTATTTTGGTACACACACACACACACACACACACACACACATATATATATATATATATATATATATATATATATATATATATATATATATATATATATATATATTTTCAATAATTAATCACAATAAATCTAAATGAAGTCGGCAATAATTCTATAATATGGCGCGCGCTGCCTGAACAGTTTAAAGTAAAGAAACAAAATCTATAACAAAAACATTTATAAGTTTTAGTTTTACAAAAAATTCCGCGGCACCATATGTCTAAGTTTAATAACTCAGCCAAAAAGTTGGTTATTACGTTAAAAGTAAAATAAATTTTACAAAATTAAGTTAGGAAACAGGTTTTAAAGTAAACTTTATAAATTATTATAAAAACAAATAACTAAATAAAAATAGAAATTTCATAGGAATAGAGGATATTTTTTACAGCATATTAATTGAAACAGTTGGTCAGAAGATAATGCGAAATAAAAACAATAAGCCGGTAAAACTATTGCGTCGTCGCAGGCGATGGCCGTGCGAGAATACTAGGCGGGGTGCGGTGGTGAGGGGCGCGGGAGGTACAATATATACACACGCTTATTAAATTAATAAAAAGGCCGTTAATTTTAAAATATTAGAGAATATTAGTGCAGTACTTTCTCACAAACATCAACCTTACTAAAATATGTTTAAAATTTACACAAATAAATATTGTCGCTAGTCTAGTCCAATATTACGAAGAGGAAAACTTAGTTTTTTTTTTTATTTATAAATAGATAGATAGATACTCTTTATTGTTTCCTCCAAAAGATTACAATAGTAAACTTATTATAAATATAAACAATTACAAGAAATAATCGACAATGAGAAAACAATGGGCGACCTTATCGCTAAGAGCGATCTCTTCCAGCCAACCTTTGGATAGAGAGGAGTAATTATAAACAATTTGGTGGGAGGCACGATGAAAAATTTTTTTAGTTCTAAATATGGGAGATGATGAGATACATATAATAATATAAATATTATCCCTACTCATTATAATGGATAAACCCCAAAAAAATCCTTAAGCGTTTATACAAATTCTTTCCGCCATAGAAAGCTACATTATCAGCGTGTAATATAGGCTGTATTTTCTCTCTCGCACACTGTATCTGTGCCGCT